TGTTACATACTCAACGAGTGGACATGTATGAGGCCAGTCTCGCATTGCTGGTATTCACTATTCAATATTCATTGTAATTTTTTACTTTTACACATTAATTTAGAATCTTTTATTAATAATTTTTTTGAAGAAGACATTTTTTTTGTATTATATAGCTGATTTAAATAAAATGTCTACAATATTCTATATTTTGTATAGAATTTATAGTTCAAACGGTACTACTTGTCAAAGAGGCACTATCGAATATCCTGTGCTGTGTGATCATGTGCCTGACACATGGCCTTTATTAATATGGTAAAAGGCCAGCAATTTCCCGTTTACTTCCCATCAATAGGCCATTAATTGCCAGTATATTTATTTCTAGACATTAAAGGGAAAATGAAGGCCCATTAATCGGTCCGACTGTCGGGCGTAGTGACCTATATATGCCGGCCTTTTAATTAAAAAAGTAAAATGGCCATCAATGTAATTGGAGGGTGACAGTTATTGGGCCTTTAATTCCCCTACACAAAATGGTTGTAGGGTATGCTTACACAGTATCCTTGGAACTACTTTACAGTTCGCAATTTTCATTGCTTGTAACTAAAATTACGGCAATTCGTATTGCAAGTCTGTGCACTGACGTCCTTTCTATCAGCTGTATAAATTAAACTTAATAATACCTCAATCACTATAAAGGGTGTTTTTTAAACATGCGGCAAAAATTCAAGGGGTTGTTCCTTGGACTATTCTAAGAATATTTTGTCCTTTGATGATTTTTGAAAATCCGTTTTGTTAAGGAGATACAGGGCGAACAAAATTTTAGAGAATAACATCATTACCAAAAAATACATGTAAATGTTACTTAATCTACAAGAACTGTTGAAAATAACTACCTTCAGCAAGAATGCAAGCATCCAATCTTCTCCTCATTGACTGCCGAACTCTTACAAAAACACCAGGGTCGTTTATTATTGAGTTACACCCAGCAATTATCCGAATTCGCAAGTCTTCCACATTTTCTACTAGAGTAGTATACACTAATGACTCATAAGAAATAATCAAGTGAGCATATTCCAACTAGAGTGCAGAATAATTCAAGAACTTTAATTGATTATGTTTTGTTAAATGATGGATACTCCAGTAATTTGGCTGTTATTGATTACTGTTTAAGCGATCATAGAATACAGATATTGTAAGAAAAACAATGCAATTCAATTAGCAATGAAAAATATTATAAATGTTTTAAGTTAAATAGTTTAGCATATAGAAGAGATCTTCAAGGTATAATTAACACTGTGTGGCAGGATCCAAATGTCTTGTGTGATCAAATAGTGAGAACAGTCCAAAGCAATACCACCTGTAGGACATATAAAGACCGTTTTAGAACTAAAAGTTGTCCATGATTTAACATTCATTTGCATAACCTAATCAAGCACGGAGATAATGTTATAAAAGGCATACGTTTTTTCCCAATAGTGCTCTGCTTCACAGTGAATACAAGAACAGTCAAACTATCTTGAAAGCAGCTATATCTAATGCAAAAAAAGAATATTATCACAATCGGCTAACAATTGCCCTAGGTAATCTAAGAAAAATATGGTCAGTGTTAAACTTGTTAGTTCATAATAAAATATCAAAGCAACAAAACACAGTGAATAAACTGCAAGTAGAAGATGACTCTATAGAAGTTCCTAAGAAAATTGCAGATATTCTTAACACCCATTTTACAGAAATAGGTAAAGCCTTAACAGAAAATATACCGGAGTTTACTTACACGAAACCTACAGTTATAAACTGTCAATAACTATATCAATGGGAGTTAACTACCCCTCAAGAAATCAACAAAGTAATTTCAGAGCTAAAATCGAGAAAAGCTTGAGGTGCTGATGGTATCTCTGGGGACTTGATCAAACATTTCAAAAACGAGATGTCGGTTATCTTAAGTAACCTAATAAACTTAACTTTCACTCATGCTTCAACTTCTAATGGACTAAAAGTAGCTAAAGTTTTACCATTATTTAAAGGAGGGCTAAGAACTTCCACTAATAACTACCGAACGATATCTCTATTAAGTTATATCTCCAAAGTACTGGCAAAATCTATTAATCAAAGGCTTGTTTCCTATCTTGAAAAAAAGAATTTTTGGTACAAGGGACAGTATGATTTTCGTAGTGGAAGTAGCACAACGTCGGCAGTCACAGATATGATTACCAACATTAGACATCATGTGGATGAAGGCAATGCATTTCTCATTGTTTCACTTGATTTAAAGAAGGCGTTTGATACTGTTAATCACTCAGTACTGTTATCTATTTTGGAAGACTATAAAATAACATGAAATGCATTGACTTTCTTCAAAGATTATTTCAATGGTCGTACACAGTTTGTAAGTAATGGAAATGCCTCAAGTAAAATGGCTGATCTACAATATGGTGTACCCCAGGGGTCAATTCTTGGACCAACGTTATTCCTAATCTATATAAACTCCATAGCTCAGCTACCATTAGCTGGTTATTTGCAACTTTATGCTGACGACGCTTGTTCTTATCTATTTTGGAAAAGATACAGACGAAATAAAGTATATTATAGAGCAAGATCTAATTCAAATACTTGAGTGGTTAAAGTTTCATAAATTAACTCTGAATACTGAAAAGTCAAGTTTTTTTAGTGATATCGAAAAAGCCTAAATGGAACCAATTCCAAATAAATATAGACAATGAACAGTTGACTAGGACAGGATGCATTAAATATCTTGGCTTATACATAGATTCCAAGCTCAACTGGGAACATCATATTGCTCAACTGTGTAAAAAAATTAGTCCTGCCATTGGAGTATTGGGACGTGTTGCCTGCTACCTTTCAGCTGACTTAAGGAAGACTCTATCATTCACTAATTCATTCACATCTATCATATTTAACTCTTATTTGGAGCAAAACTTCCCAAAATAGACTAAAACCCTTGCAAATTCTACAGAATAGAGCAACCAGAAAGCTTTTCAACTTTCTTTTTGTCATCTTACTGATTTTTTTTGTATTGTCTAAATAATATTTTAGACATTCAGTCCCTCTCTAAATATCAGACATGCATTTTTATTGATAACTTATCTCTGAATAATATACACTCATCCATACAACTGACTACTTCCCATGATATCCATAGATATAATACTCGGAATAATCGCTGCTTCAGAACCACAGCCGTAAGAACATGCTTTGGCGACCGAAGCATACTATGTGATGGTCTAAGACATTACAATGAGCTTCCTAGCACAAGGACTGACCTTTAAAAAAAAACTAAAAGCTCACTTAATAGAATTTTCTTAGTTGATATCTTCATGTTTAAATAGGGTGTAAGTAATAGTGTGATAGATATTAAATTACTGTATATTTTTTTTTCTTAATTATTATTAGTTATTTTGTAGTAGTATTGTTATTATTATAACTAAGCAGGTACCGAATTCTTCTTCTGTGATATATTATAAAATTTGTACCTTGTAAAACCCACATAGTCTTAAGCTCTGGGTTTAAATATACCAAATCGTATTCTTTTTTTTTATTAATAAACTTGATGGAACCATAAAGCCATCGACAAAATGCAATACGTGAAGGAAAATCAGCAGGAAGAAGTACCTGAACGCGTTGTATGTGGTATGCATATAACAAATTGTCCCTAAGAATTTTCCAGTCGAATAACTCCCATTCAAAGTATTTGCAATTTTTCGAGTAGAAGTACTCGGATCTTCCTCGATCATGTCCAACACATTTTCTTCCACTTCCACCGTTCTTGCTGTATTTGGCCTTCCTGGCCCTCCACTTCGGCTCAATGCACCTGTGTCATGAAGACGTTGATGAATATTTTGGAACAATTGTCTATCAGGAATATTACGGTCAGGAAATCGTCCAATGTACAACCTCCTAGCTTCTAATGAATTTCCCTCAGCAAGACCATAAATGTAATGCATGTCAGTCATGATAAAGTCAGTAACAAAATTTTAACTACCAAATAACCAATCACTAGACAAATTCAAATTAAATCCAGATTTAATCTGTAATTCTTTACGATGTCTGAACTTTTGCCTGTTTTAAGTGGAAAAAATAGCCGTTTTTAGTAATTGAAATGTTAAAAAATAATAAAAATAACGAATTTTTAAAAAAGTTGTATGTTCTTGGTTAACACAGTGCAGTACCTATTTTTATTTAGACTATTAATAATTTTAATAATAAAAATAGTTTTTTCGAAAATGTTGTGCATCTCCTAAACGAAACGGAATTTTAAAAATATTCTTAGAATAGTCCAAGGAATAACTCCTTGAATTTTTGCCGTATGTTTAAAAAATACCCGGTATATTTCCTATTTGATTTTAAGGAATTCCCCAGTGTGTATCTTCGAAGTTCAATGATCAATACCAATGAAATTAAAATGGGATCACCTTGGAATTGTACTGAATCCCAAGCAAAAAGTATTATTAAAATCAGTTCGTAAACAAAGCAGTTATGCCCAAACATACATACAAACGAATTAAAAGACTCTTCCTTTTTTTTTTAATTCTGTTTCAGCGGTGGCTGGTGTATAAATTCTGTAGAGCTGCAGAACTGCCAAAATATGCAAGTATCTCATCTACATTTCACAAAAATTATTTTAGACATTTTAAAATATATGCGTTAATAGATTTTATGGATAATTTCATTAATTTTAATTGTTAAATAGTAAATAGTATGTGTGTGCACTGCACCTCTTGTCCTAGAAGTCTTTCTAGGCATATGCCTGTCAAAAAAATTAATTAACAAGTTTGCGAACAGCAAAACTTTCTTGTCAACAATATTTTGATCAAAAATAAAAAAGTTGTATTGAAAAAACTTTAAAGTAGAACCAACGGTCGCAATTTTGGTTATTTTCAAGACTTAATCGTTATCCCACCATTATCAATAATTTTGGAAAAATCTGAATGATCGCCAAGATGGGTGGTGGTCGATTGATGCCTGCCTGCGATACTACGGTCGGGTAATTAAAGTTGCACCTGCTGTTGGGTTGTTTAATTTGATGATGAGAATATTTTTTTTCATTAGAAGATTGGTGGCAATCTGTGATCTGGTCGACGGAGGATGATGGATCGATTGTGCGTGTTTATTCGATGTAGTAGTAGTAAAGGTGAAGAGATGTGCTACCATTAGGTAGCAAGGAGATATAACAGCAGTGGGGCTGAGAGCCTGCAATGAGCGCGAAACCACGTTACAGCTCTTTCGTGAATATTATTGAAATTACAAACGAAGATAAACTGTTATGTACAAATTTAATTCAAATTCCTTCCTATTATAAAATCGTTATTCCCTAATATGAAACGTTTTGATTAATTTTATAGGTATTTTTTATTAAATTAAATAAATACCGTAAAAAATACCATTTACAAACATTTTTGTCCTGGACGGGAATATAGCGTTTCAAAAATGTTATTTTAAAAAACGTAGTATGCTTTTTAAATAGAATAACTTACATAACGTTACTAGTTTTATATGGCAACATTGTCTAGTCATGCAGACTCGAACAACAATACTAAAAAGGCGTCATTTCTAGGAGCCTAATTGGCTTACCTAACATTATAGTAGTGAGTATGATTAAATAGTAGTAATGCGAAAATGTTCTAATTTAAAAGGCTTTTGAGGTTAGGTATTTATTTTCTTCTTCTGTTCCTTTTATGGGCAATGTCCTTCGGGACAATTCACCCTAGGTATTTTTGATTTTATGTTAACCATGTTGTGTCCAGTGGTTTTTAAATGATGTAATAATAAAATGAATAAATTATGTTGAAAATTAGTTTGATTTAGAATTTTTTTCTGTGGTCAAAATAAAAGAAAAAAATTATAAAATATACCAAAAACTATCAAATAGGTATATATTATCCGATTTTATTATAATTATAATAAATTCGTACATATGTAGAGTTTTATAAATTTCCACAACAGTTTACCTTCGTCTTGACTTTACATCTTCAACTCACAAATACTTTTGTACATTTATGATATTACATTGAACTGAAAACACAGATAGTGTATGTACAGCGTTCGGCATAAATATAAATCGAATTTAAAAAAACAGGTAGGAACTTTTACAAAAAAATAAATTTTGGATAAAGTTACTCTAAAACAGTTTTACATTTTTATCCACATTTATATCAAACACTGTACAACAAATCAAGCTCCAGTTTTCATTATAAAAAATCATTCTGGGTGTTTCAAAATTGCCCATTGATATTTCTAGGATGTCTGTAAACAAGATGTCAGAATTTAACTTTTTTATATAAAAAAATCAAATTTATATGATGCATAGTCTTAATTTGAAAATTTCAGTTCCATATGTTCAGCATAAATTTCATTTAATATCATAACTGGAGTAGATAGACTAAACAGATTCTGCCCCACATAGGGAATTCAATGTGTAAGAGTGACAGGTACATATTCAGTAGGTAAGAATGAGACAGCCGGTCTGAGAGGAAAACGGGGTAAGGGGGGGAGGGGGGAATTAAAGGTCGAAGAGAATTTTTGCGTAGAACGAAAAGCCTGAAGGGCCTTAGCGTGTATCTTCACGGCTATTGGTCTGATCCAAACGGGAAAAACGGCATTAGGTAGAGAACGTAGTATAGATTAACGTTGAACAGAAAAATCCTGCGCGGAACGAAAATCCAGAAGGGCCTTAGCGTGTATCTTCACGGCTATTGGTCCGATCCAAACGGGAAAAAACGTCATTATGTAGAGAACGTGGTATAGATTAACGTTGAACAGAAAAATCCTGCGTAGGAAGCGACCATGAATCTTCTACGGTTGACGTAAAATTGGAAATAGAAGCAGATACAGGATTCCCCGCTAATACCAAAGCATATTGCATCATAATTCATGACCGTTTGATGGAATATCGTCCTCTTACCGAAGTAGTTAAAAGTATATAATAATATATTCAGTCTCGTTTCTGTCATCATGAGGATCGCATTCGTTGACATCCAAGGCTTCTGCATCAACGGTATTTTTCATCCGAAGGAGTTGAGTATCGCAATTGGTTGTAAACAATACCACGCTTTGTTCACACCGCCTACACCTTATTCTAACCTAAATGCGCCTGATAGAATTAGCGCTAGATATGTCGAGAAACATATTCATGGAAGTCAACTATTCCTCCGGAGACGTGGATTATTCCAAGTTAAACTCGATTTTGGAAACATATTTACTAAACCATGCTGATTGTATTTACGTGCGAGGAAGTGAAAAAGCTGAATTTTTACTAAAAAAGTGTCATGTGTTTGGAATATTTCCTATAATAGTAGATGTGTGCAAGTTCGATGGAACCCCGCGTGCAACAGAAAAATTCAGTAGTGACTCCAAAACCTGCATGTACCACGCCAATGGATCATTTAAATGTACCCAGAAGAACATCGAATGTCTACGCCAATGGTTTCTTAATACTATATTACCTTTGTAATTTGTTTTTCTAATAATAAATGATTATAAAAGGAAAAAAGGTTTTTAATTGAAACACCTTATTAATTTCATGCATTTATTTTCGTTTTACAAGAATAAAAATTTTTATTTACAATTTTTAAAATAATTTTAATTATTATAAACAAAGTAGATGATAGTGTTATACAACTAATTACATATAATTTAGAATATTCAGGCTCTGGTATGCCACTCAAATCGATCGGTGGTGGTGGTGGAGTGGTGAATTTTTAAATTCTCCTTCGGCTTCATCATCAAAAATCAATTTTAATTTGTATCTCTTTGCTTCATCGATTGCTATGGAGAACGTATTTAGCTTCATATTATTTACCACCGAGAAATTCATCTTTCGCCACTCTGTTTGATTATCAAAACGTATCGCCATCTGTTGTACGCCACTCGGTACGTTTGTATACAGTACGTTGTTTAATATAGCCGTAAGTATAATGAAATTAGCCTTTAGGATGGCCATATTTGCGTCGGCTCGATTCTTCTAAGTGGTCTAGGATGATATCTCTCAATATCCTCCCAAAGACTTAAATTTGTCAAATCTCTTAAAACTTGTTTTTTATCTTCATATAATTTTGTCTCTAACTTTTTCTGCAAACTCTTCAATTCTACGTCTATTCTCTTCGCTAGACATCTCAATACTAAGAAAAAAGATTGAAGCACCTATTTTGCTTTAAAAAAAAAAATATTGCCGGGTGTAGGATTCGAACCTACGCCTCCTCTCGGAGATCTGGGTTGTTAACCTTGACACCTTAGACCACTCGGCTGTAGTAGTAACAGTAGTTATTCTAGTACTTTACCCTCGATACTAGCAGAAACGTCAAACGTGAAACGTTTCGGTGTTCTCTACATAATGCCGTTCTTCCCGTTTGAATCGGACCACGTGATACGTGTTAAGGCCCTTCTGGATTTTCGTTCTGCGCAGGATTTTTCTTAGCTAAACTTCGCCTCTATATATTTTCATGTATTGTATATTACAATGCAAAATAAAGGCACTTTATTATTATTATTATTATTATTATTATAATCTATACCACGTTCTCTACATAATACCGTTTTTTCCGTTTGGATCGGACCAATAGCCGTGAAGATACACGCTAAGGCCCTTCTGGCTTTTCGTTCTACGCAAAAATTCTCTTCGACGTTTAATTCCCCCCTCCCCCCACTACCCCGTTTTCCCCTCAGACCGGCTGTCCCACTCTTACCTACTGAATATGTACCTCTCACTCTTACACATTGAATACCCTATGTGAGGCAGAATCTGTTTAGTCTATCTACTAACTGGGGCTGATATAATTCAAGAATAAAAAAATATTTTTCTGTAATATAAAATAATCTAAATATATTAAATAATTTTGAAACACCATGCATCAGAAAAAGTTCACAAAATGCGTATCAGAAAGTAATAGGAACCGAATTATATAAAACAAAAAAATTAAAATTTTTATTTCCATAATAATTACATATACAGTGCTTATTTTAGGCATATTACTTGTATATAAGTTAATAAAATACAGTAATCATTGTTGACCCCATGGTACAATTTGAATTCTTTAGATCCGGTCATTAATGACCTCCACAGTGTGATCAAAGTAAGCAAATGCCAGTAACCACTGAACTCAAGGCACAATTGAAATTATCAAGTGACTATCTCCCTCACGGCACTAGAAAAATAGTCATCAGTGACTCCCATGGCACAATTGAAGTAATCAAGAGCCAGTCACCCATGACCATCATCAATGTGTTAATTAACAATGCATTGAAAAGGTCTTGATCAAACTTTTGACTTATATTTTGGGACCTGACTTAGTGCATTGGCAATCTTTTGAGTGGCTTTAAAAAAAAATAAGATTTTATAGAACAAAGACACAGGATAAAATTTTGTGTTAATAGTTTGTCAAGTTTGAGTGACATAAAAAAGAGTTTGAAAGTCAATTGAGCAACAGTTTTATAGTCTTTAAATAATGTGATTACTGTGATGTCATCTTTGTTACCCTTAAATAATGTCTCAAAGCATTAAATTACCAATTAAAGGTTTATTCTATTTCACACCTGACATTACTTGTGGTGACTGTTCACTATTATCCCAAATCTTATTAGTTTCTGATACAAAAGACTTTTCATTTAGTTTGTAACTCTTCTTAAAAGAGTTTTAAAATTTAACTCTATATAAAGCTCTCAGTAATTTGTAAATTGAAGATGTATTTTAAAAAAATATTTCAAAAAATATCTTACAACTAATTTGGTTTTTCTTTGAAGTGAAGTAATCAATACACTTAATATTTTCAAACAAAAATACAATTGTGAATTCGAAAAATTATTGAATAAAACTTATTCTGTAGAAATTTATATAAATAAATGTGTATTGTAAGATATTTTTGTGTAAATTACTGTAATTGAAATTGCAGAATCATGGGGTCTTACAGTATGACTCCATTAAAAAAATTGCCTATAAAAAAGTAAATAATACAAACCTGGAATACCTTGATGGTCCCCTTCTTCCTCCTCCGCCTCCTCCTCCTCTTCTAGAACGACCACTGGACATCTCAACTCTTACTCTGGTACCACAGCAACGTCTAAGTACAAACAAACTACTGTATATCTGCCTTAGTTTTAGACTATGGTATTTTATAATATACTATTTAAATATTACATTGCTGCAAAAAGGTTTGCTTAAAGATATTCAGCTTACTTCCAGACCACATAAAAATGTTTATTAAGGAAATAAGGATAATGTTATATTAACCACAATCTGGCAAAGTTGTATGGAATAGGTAATCCGAAGAACTTATGTGTACATGATAGTACATACCTTTCCTACAACTTTACCTTTGTCTTTATTATTAATTCATAAAGAACTTACGTTCCATCAAGACCACGAACTGCGTCCTCAGCATCTCGGGGATCTTCAAACTCTACAAAAGCGAAACCAGGTGGATTTCGTGCCACCCACACATTTCTTAATGGACCATACTTTCCAAATGCGCTTTCAATCTCGTGCTTACTAGCAGAAGAACCTAAATTACCAACGTAAACTTTACACGAGAGATCCCACTCTCGGTACCTGGCCATATTTCTCCTAAAATTCAAATCCCCTTTAGTTAGGTTCCAGTATTTTTTTACTGCAATTTGAACACTCAATATTTTAATAATAGTTACATAAAAACTACACATTTACATCAATCAGTAATACACACCTACCTGTTCCTGGATATTTTGATAGATTATATTAAAGGTCTCAACAAAAAATGACTGCTGTAATTATAGCGATATGCTAAAATGATAATGTAGGACAAAACACTGAAGTACTAAGAAAATGGTACGATAAATATATCGTATCTTAATATAAAGCGGGTTGACTTGTATTTTTTCAATTTTCACTTTTTATTATGTTATAGCCGATAGATATATCCGATATATGGCTTTAACTTTTCTATGGAAATATGGCTGTTGCCCAATGATGGCTTCTCAGTTGACATTGATAGGTGTTTGACATCCAGTGTTGCCAGGCCCTGTCAACCGAAAATCGGTAGAATTATGGTTAAAAATCGGTAGATCTCAATGAACGGGGGGGCTATTTTCAAAGTATGGGAGCACTCATTTCTCTCAATATTCTCATCAGAAATGTCATACGTCAATGTGGAAACGCTGTTTTTAAAGGCCTCGAGGATTAAAAATCTTAGGAGGATATTAATTATCTCTAAATAAACCGTGAGAAACAATCAGTGAGTTCACACTGGCCCTTAGGACCCTAAAAATTACAGTTTTACGTTGACGTATGACATTTCTCTCGAGAGAAATAAATTCTCTCGACTTTGAAAATAGCCCCCCTGGGGACCTATTTTCAAACCGTGTGAGTACTCATTTCTCTCAAGATTCTCATCAGAAATGTCATACGTCAATGTGGAAACGCTGTTTTTAAAGGCCTCGAGGATTAAAATTCTTAGGAGGATATTAATTATCTCTAAATAAACCGTGAGAAACAATCAGTGAGTTTACACTGGCCCTTAGGACCCTAAAAATACTGTTTTACGTTGACGTATGACATTTCTCTCGAGAGAAATGAATTCTCTCGACTTTGAAAATAGCACCCCTGGAGTGGGGTAGAAAGCCAATGTGCATTGCCGCGTTTGAGAATCCACATCCGATGCATCTGAGATGTAAAAAATCTTTGATCACGTGATTCAGTATACGTAAATGTAATGGGATAGATGTGTCCGATGTGGATAAAAAAACGCTCGAGATGTAAAAAATGCATCCGATGTGGATTCTCAAACGCAGCAAAAATTGTATCAATAGAACAAGGTGCGACTCTATGGGCGCAGCCATTTTTATTTCTCATCTCACTCGGGAGTATTTATAACAACCATTTTCTGTTTCACATTGTTATTGTTCAATCCATCAGACAATAACAAAGTGAAATAGAAAATCAGTAGATTTACCGATTAATCGGTAGCACTGTCATCACTGTTGACATCACAAAACACTTCTCTTTGACATAAGCTAATTTATTCGCGATCCACGATACACAGTGCGCGATCGGTTATTCAGGATCACGGTGCCCCACGCATGACGCGGCATACACAAAACAATGAACTGGTGTTGGGTAAAATGCCAATGTTCACAGGTTCACAGTCATTTTTCATTTTTATTGCTCATTTCACTCGAAAGTATTTATAATAATCATTTTCTGTTTCATATTGTTATTGTCCAGTCCACAAGCTGAAGCTGGTGGATCAGACAATAACAATGTGAAATAGAAAATGGTTGATATAAAAACTCCCGAGCGAGATAAAAAATAATATGTCGCCCATAGAGTCACATCTCAAGCCTATTGACAAGCATTCTACCGCACTTCAGTTCATTGGGAAGCACGGAGGGTTTGAAGATAGTCAGGGGCTGGAGCGGGACAAATTTTAGGGTGCTTTTAAATGACATTTAAGCGTGTTAAACTGTCACTAATCGGACTAAACCGAACGCTAAAAGGGTCGTTTGGAGTAAAAAGTGTTAAAGGAGTTAAAGGAACTTGGCAAACCGAACGCAATGCTTGTTGTCAATAAATGACATTTGACGATTTTGACATGACAGACATATGACAAGCTTAGGTTTGACAGGTTAAAAAAAACTTGTAATGAACAATTAAAACAATTACCAAATAATGAAGAAATGTGAAATATTACTTTAACTTTTTGTTTTTGTGGTCTACGGTACAAAGCAATCATTGTATTGTTTGTCCTTTTAAAATAATAAACTTATAACAACTTAATTTATTTTAAATCGTTATATTTCCCATTGAATGACGAGAGGATGAGTTTCTTATTGTGAGTATATTTCTCATTCTATTTTTAACATGGTTATTTTGAAAAGAAAATCAATTATTTGTCTTTCGATGTAGGTATTGGAATCACCACTTTGGTAACAGGAAATTCCGATTGTTTTGATTGTTATATTTTTATTCACTATTAAATATTGTTTATTGTAAGACAACAAATGTTATTTTTTTAGTGACATATTATTTAAATGTTTAATAATGTGAAAAATTGTCTAATCACTAAAGGAATTGCTAATAAATAAAATAGTTAATAAAAAAAAATAATTGTTCTTTCTCCAGTTATTTTGGGTAATACTTACCTATATGTAAAACTATCAGATAATAGTTTTTCTATCAAATTTAGGCCTGTACACAATTCTGTCATTGCTAGGGATGATTAATATTTTAATTTGGTTGTTTATTTGTAAAATATTTACATTAATATTTGTCTGTGTTATTTTCGAGCCATTATCAGGCAAAGGTGAAATTATTTCTTTACTATTTGAATTAATAAAAATTGTGTTAAGAGGTAGACAACATGATAATATAACACTATTGGTTATTAGTATAGATGATAAAGAGTAACATGTCCAGAATAGGTCCCTGGGTACTCTGTGCTTTGTTTCTTTAGGTAAAGGATATTCTTGTACAAACTGTAAAACACTGCACAATTACCATCTTATTATACAGAATCGATAAAAATCAAATTGTAAATATTTATTTACAATGTATGTATAAAGATCGAAGACTTAATATACATATTATTTTATTAAATTAAATTTAAAATGATATATAAATTGAGTTATATAGAAATTGGAGAAAGGAAAGAGAAAAAATAAACCATTAACTTTAAATTCTCTTGAAAAATGTTTCTTTTGATATTTCAACAAAAATTTTTGGCTAGTAGGTACCTCTGTTAACAAATGGAGTTTTACAATAATTTTAAGGTTTTTATACTAAAAGATACATACTGTGTGAAGATATAATAATTTTGCATTTAAAATTTACTTTATAAGTAAATAAAATACTATGTACATTAAGACTTTAACATTAAACAATACTCATATTGTAAAATTATATCAATACTTATCTTGTTCTAATAAACTCATTCTGTTTAGTGGAAGTCGTTCCTCTAAAACTTTTAAACCAAAAAAGAATATACCAGAAGGAACTCATCAATATGAGTTGATGAAACATGCAGCGGCCACATTGGGTTCAGGTAATTTACGATTAGCTGTAATGCTTCCTGAGGGAGAGGACTTGAATGAATGGGTGGCCGTCAATAGTAAGTAAACACATTATTGAATGGTTTATTAAGATAATATAAACAATAGAGGTTTCTTGATAAGTATCTCAATATTAACAATATTTACCACTTGAAATCATAATCATAAAAAAGACTCTAGATATACATCTCCATTAATTTGTTACTTTATACCATTTTAAAAACAAACATCAACACTTAAGTCAGGCAAATGACAAGTATTAAGTACTATAAGAAATAGAATAATTAATATATTAATTAAGAGTCTATTTCTTGCAACTTTTCTAAAGCTATTGAAAGACATACCCAGATTGTCAAAATTTAATGAATTTGCACTTCTTTACATTCTTGATAGAGGACTTAATAGTAAGCCATAATTAGTTGTCTATACTCGCACAAAATATTGGAGAAGGTGAGTCATATGCATGATCAACACTGTTGTCTATGAATGAAAATTCCGACAGAGTTAGCATAGGCCGCATATCAAATACCAAATAATTATTTATTAAGTATTTGTTAGTAAACTTTATTAAATTTGTTTCTCAACATCTTTATTTAAACAAAGATGGTGCGTTAAATATACGTTTTTGATAGTTTTCAAGAAATGAATATATTTATTCCCTAATGACTTACGGGTTACAGATTAAATATTATCAGCACAGGCACAAAGACAGTTGAAAACTAACTTTCGACGAAGTTAGATTTGTATCGCTTTAACTATGTACGATAATTATTTTATATTTTATAAAGACTTTTTTGTATAAGTGCTCTTTTCTGATATACGAGTAGGTGTTCATGTTTGTATCTTAAAATTTGGTAGTGGTAGTGCATATTCGAGGAGTTATATTTATTGTGTAATATATTAGGTAGGTACTTTAAAAGTTTATTAAATAGTAAAATATTGGTGTCTTTATAAATTTAATAAAAACAATTTAATAGTAGAATTATATTGTTACAATAGTAATGGATTCAGAGGCGGGTCCAAGTGAAACCCAATTACGTCGGCGAAAGCCCTTATTAAAGGATGAAAAGAACATTATATGGAAATTGTATGATGGGCTGAAACAGACACTTTCTACAAATGAAATTGTAAACCGCAGTTCTTTTTTAACTGGATTATCTGTTTCAACAATTGAACGTATTGTACGCGAAAAGACAAAAAAAGGCTCCTTAGAAGCCCCTAAAATGCATACCTGTGGTCGAAAATTGTTGAAATTGGACGATAACCTAAAACAAATCATTCGCAGAACTGTACATTCTTCTTTTTTTCGAAAACAAAGCCCCAATAGTTGTTCTTACGAAATTAAGAGAAAACTAAGAAATTCCATTAATGAGCCGTGAAACTTTACAAAAAAATTTATGGGGCCTAAAATTTCGTTTTGTCAAACGGTGTAGGAAATCAATTTTAATTGAGAGATCAGATATAGTGTCCTGGCGACGGCGTTATTTACGAAATATTAAAGAGTTTAGAGCCGCTAAAAAAAAGATATACTATCTCGATGAAACGTGGGTGAATGCTGGACACACGGTATCTAAGATATGGCAAGATACTTCTGTAACTAGTCATCGCCAATCTTTTATAGAGGGATTATCTACAGGTTTGAAAGCACCATCAGGTAAAGGATAGCGCCTAATTGTTACCCATATTGGAAGTGACAGTGGATTTTTGGAAAATAGCGCTCTTGTATTTATATCGAAAAAAACAGGAGTCTACCACGTGGACATGAATGCGGAATGCTTTGAAAAATGGTTTACTGAAGTATTACAGCGTGTAGAACGAAATTCAGTTATTGTACTAGATAACGCTTCTTATCACAGTCGACGAGTTGAACGCATTCCGATAATGTCCAGTAGGAAAGCGTATATGCAAACCTAGCTGCGGGATAAAGCAACAACATTTACTGAGGAGATGCTTAAAGTGGAATTAATGGACCTAATAAAGGAACACCGCCATAAATATATTCAATATGTTGTCGACACAATGGCTCGTGATCGTGGTATTACCGTACTAAGACTTCCCCCTTATCACTGCGAATTCAATCCTATTGAACTAATTTGGGCGCAAGTGAAAGGGTTTGTAGCTCCAGAAAATAAAACTTTTAAAATAGCCGACGTTCAAAGTTTATTAAAAACCGGTAGAGAACGTATAAAACCTGAAGATTGGCAGAATGCTATTTCCCATGTAATTAAGAAAGAAAATAATATGTGGCGCTTGGACGGTATGATCGAAACGGTATTGGAACCTTTAGTCATAACTTTAAGTTCCGACGATAAAGACGATTCCAGTGATAGTTCTGCAGATTCAATGGATTACGAAACTTCATAGATTTAGAATTTGTTCTTCACTTATTTAGTATACATTTAAATTGAAATTATCATCCAGTATAAAACGTAATATGTCACATAAATATTATTCCCAATATTATACTTCGCCATGACGGTTTTGCCCTAATTGGAAAAATACCATATCCGCGTGGCGAGGAATGAGTCGAAAATTCTACCGACCCGGCAAAATCAGTATCGCCTCAAGTGTCGTAGAATATAGATGTGTTTTTAAGCTTGTGATTATTCGATACAAAACCGGCAATTCTACATTCTCGTCAAATACCAGCCCTAATATACAGTCCACGACCCCTGCAGCATAGGGTGGACGCGCCAAGAAGAGAAGTCAGCGTCAGGAAGCCGAGGAAATTAGAGGTAGGACCTGATTGGCAAAGCTTTCAATTTTCTTTTGCGCGTTACATACTCTAGCTTAACCATAACCTATTCAGAATTCAAGTAAGTGATATCAAGCTTAATTTATATATTTTTATAATAAACAAAATACAATTATAAACAGATTAATTATTATAACAAAAATAGATAACCAACCTACTTTCATCTAGTAATATTCACAAATACCCATTTAATTTGCCAATATGGCATTTCTGCGACACTGCAAGAGTGCATTTTGATATAACGATACCTTTTGCAGTTTTAAGGCGCACCTTCTTTAATATTTTGTTCTAGTATAATACTGACAAAAAACATGAAAATCTGTCTCACTGAAAGTTTAGTTGTGTCTAAAATATTGTATGGTTTGATTATTTATTACCCGTGTTTAACAAGTGAAAATAAACGCAGGTTAAAAGTTATTCAAAACACATGTTGCAGGCTCATTTACAATTTAAGAAAATATGATCATTACCATTTAATACCCTAAATTGGCTTAATATTCAACAATTGTTTAAATACAGCACTTTAACATGGATTCAAAAAATTATGATAACCTCTAAACCAACCTACTTAAAAGACAAATTAATTCCCCGAATGTCCCTTCATAATCGTTTTATTAGAGACAAGTATTTGCTTAATATGCCTCTATTCCACTTATCTACATATACCAGATCTTTTATATACAATGGCATAAAACTGTACAATAACTTAGACAGTAATATTAAGTGTATTCAATCTGTAAGTTCTTTCAAAAAAAAATTAAAACAATCACTCTTAGTATCTTAACTATTTTAACCATTATATTTTTTTTATATAAAAATTTGTATTGTATATTATATTATATTCTTTAATGTAACGCCCTATTTTATTCCTAATTGTAATTTATCTTGAACATGAATTCGATCTTTGTGTTTTACATTTATATTTTATATTTATCTATATTTTATATTTATCTATATTTTATATATATATATATATATATATTTTTTTTCTTCAACAAAACAAAAAACTGCCATTATAATCGAGCAGCTTTTAGGGTTAGGTGTAAGAGTAGCTTTAGCTAAATCTCGCCCATTGTATCATACTAACATTATCTTTTAATAAAGTCGTTTATTATTATTATTACCCCATTTAATTTTCCAATAGTGTTTCTACGCCACTGGCATATTTACATATTTTAACAATAAACAAAACAAAATTATAAACATAAATGATTATTACTACAAAAATAGATAACCAACCTACTTTCATATAATATTTACTATTACCGCATTTAATTTGCCAATAGTTTTTATACGCCACTGGCGTAATTCATTTTGGCAATAAACATGCATTTATGACTAGTTGGCACGTGATTCCGATAACTTCTGCAGTTTTAAGCGTGTGATTCCATTCATTATACTCTGGTATAGTATTATTGTTGTACGTGAACAGGGAGGAATCACCTTCTTCAATATTTTGTCCGAGTATAATGGAATTAAGAATAAATAATTTTAATGAGTTTATTTTACTGGTATTCTAAATGTTTACAACTAAATTATAGAGAAAGTATTATTATTATTAATAATTAATATTGTTTCTTAAGAACTGTATAAAGTTCTAATATACCTTTGAAAATACGTTTAATGGTTTCAGCCGTGGATTTTTTTAACCAAATCAACATGCTGTATGGAACGATAACTGAATTTTGCACGGAAGACAGCTGTTCCATAATGTCAGCGGGTCCGAAATATGAATACCATTGGGCAGACGGACACACCGTAAAGAAACCCATCAAATGTTCCGCACCAAAATACATAGATTACCTAATGACCTGGGTACAAGATCAGCTTGATGATGAAACGTTATTTCCTTCAAAAATAGGTAACGAACAACGTTTAATTAATACAGGGAGGGGAGAGAAGTAAAATTAGTAGTTTCTAAAATTAACCGTATAATTCGTTTGATTTTGTAGGAGTACCGTTTCCCAAAAACTTCCAATCCATTGCTAAGACGATTTTAAAAAGGCTATTTCGAGTGTACGCCCACATCTACCATCAGCACTTCAGTGAAGTGGTGCAGTTGGGGGAAGAGGCGCATTTGAATACCTCGTTTAAACATTTTATATTTTTTGTACAGGTGAGTTTTTCTTTCTTTATCAACGTAATGGAATTTTACTGAAGACCAATTTGTTATTGTAGGAATTTAATTTAATCGAACGACGCGAATTAGCACCTCTACAAGAATTAATCGACAAATTAACGGCAAAAGAGACACGATGAATGAATAATATGGAATATATGATTTATATACTTACACATATATAATACCTATATACTTTCCTCTGTGCATTTATTTCGACTTTTGTGTGACTGTTTAGTTTATTTCGTAATTTATAGCACAAAACGGTGTTACTTGCAAGATTTTCTTTACTACCACCACCATCATCGTCGTCGTCGTCTTTGTCATCATTGTACATGACATAAAAAACGTTGCGAAATATTCGAGAATCTATTTTGTAGTAATATAATAAGAGAGTAAAACAAAGCTTTAGAATCTACAAAAAACAAATTAAGGAAGAAAAATGTTACCTTAAGAAAGCTTCATTAATTATTATAATATTGTTAATATATAGTTTTTTGGTTAATTTACGATTATTTAATATATGAATTTGTGAATTTTAAGTTGTAATAAAAATTTTAATTCTTGTTTTTATTTTTATTTATTCATGGATACCACCTCTATGGTTAACCATTTTAAATATTTTTCTAGGTGTTAAAGCAATTTCTATAGGTGTTCAGAACTTCCAGATATTACTAAGTTAGCTGCTATTGTGGACATCATCTCCATGAATAATTTAAAGCTTTTTATACAGGTTATAGGTGTTCAGATGATTGCGAAATATTTAGATATTACTATAGTAGCCGTTATTATGGACACCATCTCCATGGATAATAATTTAAAACATTTTCTATTGATATCCAGATCATCACAAACTAATATAACCGTTATTTGGAGAAAAAAAAGTCATAATGACAGACGTAGTAATTATATCGTTTGTTAGTAATTTTCTGCTTGATTACCAAAAGCTTTAGTGGACTCTTGTTCAATTAGCTTCATTAATCCGTCCCGAGTCCATTGCAGTTGATAGTTTTGCAGTTCTCACCGAAAGTAACCGAACACTACCTAAGGAACAAGACAGCGCCAGCCCAAAATGGCGGTTGATAAACCGCCCGATATCCCCAATCCCAATTGCCTAACAAAACAAAAAGTCTTAATACTGACGTAGGCCCGTTCGAAGTCTATGTACAAGGAAAAGACAGGAATATTGGTAATCTTCATATCCTTAGCATAGCCAAAACTGTGTGCAACCTTAAACTTAAAGAAATAATTAAGATTAACAGCAAAGGAAAAAATCGCAAGGAGCCACCTTTTCGAATTACAGTGCCGCAAATAAATTTATTATTGATAAGAACTGAGATTCAGTTGGTTACGAAGTATTTATCCCTTCACATAATGTGTCCTGCAAAGGTATTGTCAGACATGCTCTATAATCTCTTACTGATGATAAAGTACAAAATGCCATAGATACTGAACTGGCCTTCTGCAAGGCCCTAAATGTTAAAAGACTTAACAGACGAGTAGTTGAAGAAGGACAGGAACCAAATTATATTCCAACTGGAACGGTTTGTATAACATTCTCTGGAAAAATTATACCAAAAGAAATAACTATATATGGCCTACCAATGAAAGTAGGGTCCAATTGAAATTAGAAGAACACAGCTACGTTATCATTTGGAAAAGTAATTATCTAGTTATAGCCGCTTACTGGGGGTTTAGTGGAGTTTCAATATTATAGGAAATATTGGTTTATATCTAACAACTTATTTATTGATAATTATAAATATGTATTCGAAGTAATGGTTATGACGTAGCTGTGTTCTTCTGATTGTAATCGGACCCTAACTTCTTATATAAGCCCTGTTCTTCAATGCCTCTTATATGGTCATAACATTAATAAGCAATGCAAAATTTGCGTTAAAAACCTCATCGGTACAGAAACTTGTAATAAGTTTTGTATCCACTGTAAAAATGATGAATATTCTCTCTTCTAATGACAAAAAATGTCCTGAATACAGCAGCCATTAAAGAATTAATGTTATTTTCAAACATCTCATATTATGTACGTGCATAATGTAAATGACTTTCCTACTATAAATACCAATTCTATTAACATTCACGAAAGAAGAACAGCTCTCATGTATAGTTTACAGAGACAATACCTACAGTCAAATAACTATCATCGACTATTAAACGTAGAAGACCTGAAGAAAGAAGTTTCGATAAAAAAGTACTTGACGACTGCCTCATAAATCCTAATGGTAAAATTTCAGAATCAATTCCTTCTACATCCAACGTCAATAGAACAGATTTGGGGAAAAAACTGAATCTGATATTGTCCAGGCTATATCTATCTTATCTCAATCCCACAAGGAGCTCGTTATGACATTTATTGGAAACATAATTAATAATATGTACTCTTCTGTTAGTAATAGTAATGTTTCAACAACAAATATTGTAGGTTCCCAAGAACCTTTTTCACAAATTAGTAATAACCCTGTATCACATGATAATGTTGGTGGAATGAATTATTCCTACTAGAAGGATCTCTAATCCAACCATACATCTATACGTTTTCTGATTACATTTACTCCATTAACCGTTATTCAATGGAATATTAGATCATACAATGTGAATGTTGACAATCTTAAAGTTCTAATTATGGAACACAACCCTGACATTATATTACTTAACGAAACATGGCTTACTTATACTTTAAAATGTAGAGGTGATAAAATACTTAAAGATGATGTATATGGGGGAATTGCTATACTAATCAAAAACAATATAGACTTCTTCCAGACATCTGTTAATAATTGCTTTGATCAAAATATCCAAACCCAACTTATTCTTACCCCATTATGACCTAAATTTGCTTAATATATATTGTCCTGCAGATAACCTAATTACTAAAAGGAATTTTATAAAATTTATCCAAAAAATAAACCCTTACTGATAATGGGTGATCTAAATTACAACCACACTGTTTGGGGGAGTAGCTCTAACAGCTTCAATGGTTAAAATATTTTCCAAGCTTTAGATGATCTTGATTTAATATTCCTCAATGACAGCTCTCCTACTCGTTTTTCTCCTCCTAGAGGAAGCAATTCTGTAGTTGATGTATCCCTTATTTCTTCTGAAATAGCACCTAAATGCACCTGGGAGATCATTTTTGATCATGGATCAAGTGATCACTTCCCCACAATGTGTAAAATTGGCATGGGTCCAAGTACCAATCCATTGCCCATTAAAAAGAGAAATTTCCATAAAGCCGATTGGTCCTCTTATCGTAACCTTGATGTACTCTTTTCTTCATTTAGTAGTGATAGTTATGAAGATTTTATTGAATCTCTTAATTTAGTGGCTGACACCACAATTCCAAACTTCAAAGGCAATAATAAAAACAAATAGATACCATGGTGGGATAACTCATTTGATGACATAATTAAAAAAAGACTAACGGCCATTAAAAATTTTAAAGACATCCCAACTATAGAAAACTATATCATGGTCAAAAAATTTGTTGCAAGGTCTAGTAATAAACTTTTGAAAACAAAAAGGAAAAGTAGGTATAAAGAGTTTTGCAGAACACTAAATCGCGATTCATCCTTAAAAACGATATGGAATAAAGTAAATTCAGTTGCAGGTCAGAAAACTAATACTTCCAGCCTTATGCCATCTTTGCTACTAGCTAATGATACACTAAAAATCATAACACCGAATACTGCTTGCCCAGCTGTTTCTATCAAAATTTCTAATAACAAAGAACCCGTTTTTACATATAATGAATTTAAATATACATTATCAATTAAAAAAGATTCTTCTCCCGGCTTAGATATTTCCTACTCAATGGTAAAAAACTTACCTAACTTGGGTGCCGTTTGGTTATTACAATTTTACAATAACTGTCTCAAAAGTGGATCTTTTCCCCAACAATGGAAACAATCTTTGATCTTGCCATTTGTAAAACCTGGGAAAGATAAATCATGTCCAAATAATTATAGACCTATAGCTTTAACATCCTGCGTTGGAAAACTTCTAGAATCACTTATCAAAAATAGAGTAGAATGGTATTTGGAAAACAAGAAAATCTTACATCCACAACTAGGATTTAGACGAGGAAAAGGCTGCACAGAATCAATATCTTACTTTATCACTTAAGTCCAAATAGACTTCGCATCAAATAATTATACTGTTGGTCTATTTCTTGATATTTCGGCAGCCTATGATAGTGTAAATATATACCTATCTTCTGTACTCTAAATTAGCCAACATTGGTATTTCAATAGAGCTATGCAATCTTATCTATGCATTTCTAAATAACAGATCCATTTCAATCTCAGATAACTGTGGTCAAAGTCATGGACCATGAACTTCCAATCAAGGACTTTCTCAGGGATCTCCCCTTAGCCCCATTTTGTTCAATTTCTATTTGTTATCTTTATTTTATATTATACCAAAATTCTTTAAATTAATCCAATACGCGGATGACATTGTAATTTTGGTTAGTGGAATGTCTTCAATATTATAGAAATAAACTCTTTCTTGATTACTTTTAAAGATTTGCTGGATGAGCACAATTAAATTTAATGATACAATAATTCACTGGTCAGATTCATTTAAATATTTAGGCGTTTACATTCATAAACATTTAAAATGGAATGCACATATAAATTACATTGACCAAAAAATTAACAGAGGTTTAAATGTCATGCGATCTCTTTGTGGTACGTGGTGGAGCAGTAATCCAAAAATCCTTCGCATAATACACGACGCTATCATCTTAAGTAATATAGATTATGGATACCAGGTAATTTCTCTATGTCCAAAGTACCATCAGAAGAAGTTGGACATGTTACAATATCAGAGCTTACGTGTCATCACTGGTTGTATGTAATCAACCCCAATTTATGCTTTGCAAGCAGAGAGCGGGGATATCCCTTTAAACTTAAGGGAGGGACTGGCTTCGTTATAAATTACTTTTAAAAAATCTTGTATTGGAAAGTAACCCTGTCAATAATTCATTAAAATATTTGGCAACATAAAATAAAAAAAGAAATGTTTACAAAAAGATAACTGACACTCCAGTATTATTAAGTTTAATAAACCAAATAAAAGAGTTCTTCCAAATATGTATTCTAATGAATTGCTGCCATGCCATGAATTTGAATTGGCCACCCAACTCTCTTCAATTCCAGTTTTAAATCTTAGATCAATTAGGGATGAAACTTATGGCTTATCCATCTTTACTGACACAATAAACATGCTACCTGGTTACATAAAATTCTTCACCGACGGATCTGTGGGACCTTCTAATGATTCAGGCTTCGGAGTATTTTCTCCAGACCTACGTGTTTTCAAGCAGACTACCTCAACATACACAAATATGTACTGCAGAAATTATTGCAATTAACCATGCCTTGCAAATCATTTTAGAAAAAAATATCTTGAACTCTGTTATCTTCTTGACGTTACTCAATGGTAAACTTTAAAATTGATTAACGTTTGATTCCAACTATTTGTTTATTTTTTTTTTTAATTTTATATTAAATAAATATTTTAATGTTTTCTACATATTTTTTATGATTAAACGATATTAAATATATTGTTCAATGAATAAAAATTGGAAAGTTCATGCAATATTTATATTTTTAATCTTTAAATACGAATTTCCTAAATTTCAATAGGTGGGCCAACTGAAATGGGAAGGGGCTCGTAAATAACATCCACATCACTTTGGCATGGATTCCAGGGCACTCCGGCAATATTGGCAACCATAAAGCCGACCAATTAGCAAATATAGGAAGAATCCTTAAATTCCTGTAAATATTAAACTCAATAAATCTAACTTTTTACCCTTCATCAAACAAGAAATTTGGGACGAATGGCTTTAACAATGGAATTCACTAAAAGAAAAGATCTTTTAATTTCCAAGTGGTCCCTGAAATACCCAAAACTTCGTGGTTTAATAGTAAACAATGCAATGGAAGAAGGTACCTTTCCATAATCATACGGGTGAGAACTGGCCATTGTCTAATCCCATATCACCTATTTCGAATTGGAATTAAAGATGACCCATTTTGTGAGTGTGGAGAAGTTGGATAGTTAAATCACATCATCTTAGAGTGTCCATTAATAAATCTCCTCTTTTTGATCTGTATTTGAAATTAACGAAGGCTGGTTTATCAGTCCCATTTGATATTCGCTACATCTTGTCTCATTTGGATGATAGAAGAATAACCACCCTTTCCAAATTTTTAAATTCATTTAAAATCGATATCTACATTATCTAGTAGAAGTAAACCAATTTTATCTGGGTAAATTGTTCGCAGTAACATAGCCCAAAAAAAGAAAAGAAGAAGATAACCGTTACATCTTCATAGTTAACTATTCAAAGACCAATAAAGAAAAAAAAACTATTCAAAGCCCTTTCTATAGGTATTCTAGGTAAAACGTCGTTATTTAAGCCTATTGTTATTGTTGACACTAATTACACGTTTAACCATTTTATGTACTTTCTCGAGGTGTTCTAGCTGTCCAGACCCGTTATTGTGGTGGACACTATCTCCATTATTAATCATTTGAAGGGGTTCAGAAGCCAATCAATGATCATTGTTTTGCTGAAAATGACTTATTTTTTAAACTATTTAAATTATTTTTATATTTAAAAAAATCTTATAAAGTATTTATAATCGTTTGTATTTATTAGTGTTACACTAAAGTTTAATTTTTGTTTATTGACTTACACTGATTAGATTCTAAACCCTCCATTTAAAGCACTTTCTAGGTATTATAGGTATCCCCCACATGGCACACGGACGTCTTATGGACGTCTAAAAGACGTCCTTCAGGGACATAAAGGACGTCCGAGGGACGCCCTATTTTGGTACCGGGACGTCAATCGGACGTCCTAATGTCCCGTTTCCGTCCATCTTAGGGACGTCCCTGGGACATCATAGGGACCTTTCCGAGACGTCTTAGGGACGTAAATCAGACGTCCTAGGGACGATATTTGACCGTAATCCATAAAGGGTAATAATAACAAAAATTTTAACAATAAAAGAGCTTTATTTAACAACTTTTATCCTAAAAAACTGGCTAGAGTTAAACGTTTTCAGTTTACAAAGAAAAAAACAGGAATTCATTAAATTTAACACACAGCGCTGGCAAGATGAATCCTTGGGTCCTACTTATAGCTTGTGTCGACATAATTGAGTATTATAATTTTATCCAAATTAGTTTTGTTCCATCTTTCCGCCCATTAAGGTGTTTTCTTTCCGCCAGCGGCTACCGCCAATACACATCACTTATTCTCACCTCAACAAAAAATACTCACTTCACTTTATAACCACTTTACCACCAACATCAAAAAAATAACAAATAACACTATATAACCTTCTTTTTTCTTCGTTAATCTAACTCACTTATATAAGTTTATTATTGAATGCCGAAAATTGTAGCTGTTGTTCATTTGAAAATAAATGATAGGTTAGGTTTTCTGTCCTCAAACTCTTGCAAAAGCAAAACGTTGAATTTCAAGTTATTGATTCAAAGACCAACGATGCTAGTACATAGAAAGTCCCATAGACGTACCTTGGACGTCCCATTAACGTCCCGGACTCGGACCGAAAACTAAACGCTTTGTCGAAACGGGACCAAAATAGGACGTTCACTGTAATCGGAAGTCCAGTGGACGTCCTATTTAGGTCCGGGACCAACAAGGGACCAAATCAGGACGTCCATGGGACGTCCTGTGCTATCTGGGCTAGATCATCATTAAATGTCCAAATTTTACTAAGATATCTGTCATTATGGACACCATCTCCATGGTTAACCACTTAAAGTCCTTAAGGCGTTCTAGGTGTCCAATCATCGTAAAACGTCTGGATATTATTAAAATAGTTGTTGGTGTGGACACCATATTCGTGGCTAACTATTAAACAAATACATAGACATACATAGTCCGACATGATAAATAACAACAACAAGTTTTTTTCTTATATTTTACTACATTGATTCACGTAAATAATAAGAGAGTAGTAATATACATAAAAAAAGTTTTATAACAAAACAAATGCACAGTCTCGCTCCAATCGACGTTTCGCCTTAATTTGCATGATACCCAAAGGGTCGGTGGGTAGCGGTAAACCTCCATTACAAACGCTCGTCTCGCTGTAAAAGATTTTCGTCGGCCCGCAATGATAGCCGTACAATACATTGTCCTCGCATCTACAAATATTACAAATAAATTATTATTATTATTAACAATTTTACTGAATAAAAATAATAAACTTGTACGTACCTAACTAATACTTCGCTTAAATTTACGCTATTCAGTTCTCGATTAAAATAGTTTAAATTTCGCCATTCGTCATCGGTGCCGTTCCACAACATGTCTTGGTATCCGAATTGGGAATACGAATCCAGAATAATGAACTTGTTCAATTCTTTTTCTTGTTGCACGTTTTGCAAATGGATATTGTTCCGCATTTTACGTTCCAATTTGCTTAAGTGTTTCGTGCAAATGTCTTCCTAAAAATTAGTCACTTTTTTAATCGTTATTTAACTGTAATCTGTTTATAATTACATAAAAAAATGAAACGAAAGAAAAACTTGATGGGTTACTGGGTGAAAAGGAATTGAAATGGCGAAGAATAGGGAAAAGTTGAGAAAATACAATATGACCGACCTCGCCTAAGTAGAACAAGCCGAGATAATTATTTATTTATTTATCAACGAGCAATTTCCCAATTAAAATACAAGTTTAATAAAAGGAAAAATTTAAAACCGAACCTACACTTAGAGAATGTTGAAACAAAGAAACACAAATTACCATAAAAAAAGTTTGATAATTTTATATTTTATGTACCGCTATTGGGTCCCTCTATTATTATCAACTTTTGGAACTACAGTTCATCAAATTTCTAGAGGTGTTCGACGCCCAGACAGAGAACGCGCTACGTGTGACTAAGATAGCTATTGTACAGTCTGCTAAACAAGTTATTTTAAATAGTTTTTAACATTTTTAAGTAATTAAATTTTAAAAGTGTGGAATAGTTTAGGGATTAAATTGGTCTGATTGGACTTTCTTAGAACGTTTTTAAAAGCAGCTAAAGATAGTATGTAGAATTGAAAATAATTATTATGCCATAAAAGGTGTTTTGGAATTCCTTCAACCTTTTGAAATTGAGTCAGAAAATATAAATTTTATAGGATAGCGGAAAATACCTATAATTTTTTTGTAGGCCTTTGTAAATCGTGGAAATAGTTTATATTTTATTTCTACCTTATTAAGGAAAATGGTACCTATTATTAATAACGGTTGTTTCTGAAACATTACTAAAATTTTCGAAATTTTGTTTTTCTACAAAATAATGAACTATACTATTTAGAAAAAAATTTATTTCTCTTATAATTTTATAAAAAATAACAGGGGAATATTTACATTTCTTGATCTATTAAACAAAACGATAAATTATCTCGACGAATGACACCATGTTCTAGTACGGAAGCTAGCTTTACATTTTTGTTGGTGGTTTCATGGGTTTCATATCACTTTTTTGTAATTGTAGTTTACACGTACATATACCTCTTAACACTTGTTTGCTTTATTAAAAAAGTGTGTTGTTGTGATTTACGTCGAAATAAGTCAAAAACAACTTGAAACCCCATATAAAATCAAAAAGGAGAAACGGAAAAAAATTGAGCCTGTAAATGAACACAACTCAGAAACAAAAATAGCTATCTAATAATAAAAAAATAAAATTTGATTCTTGTGCAGCTTCATCTATATCATTAACTGTTTTTGGTTTTTTAATGGTTTTTCTTGGTGATGAAAATTCCGATATCTCACGGTTATTGATTCTTTTTTTCTCTCCAGAAATGCGGACGACAGTGTTTTTAGATACTCCTGTGGCTGCAGTAACACGATCATTTACATTTTTAAATGGTATTGAAGGTGAATTAAAGTTTCCTTCTCTTCTCATAAACTCTATACCATTGGCTATTATTTCGCGAGATTGACTGTTAATCACGCGGCCTCTTAATTTGCTATTAAACTCCATACTTAGGTTCTATTAAACTGTAATGAGCAAAAAACACAAACGAAAATAAAAGAAATGTTTTAGCGAAATTTACATCTGACATTTACGTCTGAATGAAATAGTGAAATACTTGATGCGCAGAGTGTACTTTCATTGCGTAAATCCGTCGGTATGCCTGTCAGTAGTGCTTTCTCTGTCTAGTCGTCGAAAGCCTCTAGAAATTTGATGAACTGTAAGGTAAGTTTGGCTAAATCGTAATATTTTTACCCAAAGAATCTGCACTTTTGCTGTGTACCATTAACACGTTCAGTGACAGTTCCCATATCGAAATTCCACTTCATGTGACACTACCGTTTTATTGTGGGAGTAGATTCGTTACTGCTTTATAAACAGACACTACTCATCTGGAGTGGCACTCCATATCAAATTGCAATGAAGAGAACGAAAGAGAAAAAACCTCCTCTCTTTTTTTCCGTATCGAAATTTGTACTCTGTAGCAATTTCTTTATTTAATTCAGAGTGAATCGGGAGTTTCCGTCGCGAAGAGAAATTTCTAAAATAACGAACTACTTGTCCTAAAACTGTTGGCTTCACTTCTATTTGACACATTAAATAAAAAAAGAAATCCAATTTTTTACATAAATTTGGATTTCTTAAAATAGTATTACGCCATTGATTATTCTGGATCAAACTTCATTTTCGACTGCTTTTTAATATTTTTATTTACCACTAATTCAAAGCAGACCCTGTGTTCAAAGGTAAGTGGAGAAAATAAAAGCGATTTCAGATTATACCAGTAATTTGACTTTTTATTTAATGAAAACAATTTATGTAATTTGTGTATAATAGTTAATTTTAACTTTTATAAAACATGTGATGCAAGAAGCCCAAAATGATCAACAAAAATATGAACTATGCATTGCTAAAAGGGTAATGAGGGATGCAAGTGATCCATTCGGACTTCCTGATGTTAGATTCAAAGAATTATTTAGACTAAATAAAGATTTAGTTCAGAATTTGTTTATTAATTGCAAACTGACAATCCACATAAAAATAAACTTAAAATGTCAAAACAAAACTGCCAAATCAAGTTCTTAATATAAACAAAGAAAGAGTTATACCCCTTCCATACATTAAAGCAAGACATACGAGGTCAGTAAATTAAGTAATGAGACTGATTTTTTTAAAAAAATTTATACAAAAAGAATTACAATTCAATATTGTCACCTTCAAAATAACTTCCTGCTGAGGCCACACAGCGCTGGAGACGTTTCTTGCACTCCTCATAGCAGTGCTGGAACTCCGATACTGAAATAACCTTCAGCTGGTCGGTTACAGCCGTTTGAATTTTTTCGACTGTCCCAAAATGATTTCCTTTGAGGTGACTTTTCAACTTTGGGAAGAGAAAAAAGTCACAAGGACTCAAGTCAGGCGAATAAGGAGGCTGAGGAGCCACAGGAATGTTTTTACTGGCCAAAAACTCGTTTATTGAAATTGCTGTGTGACAAGGAGCATTATCGTGATGCAACACCCACTTGTTCTTGATGTTTGGTCTCACACGAATGACCCTTTTTCGAAGTCTTTCAAGAACCTATCGGTAAAAGTGTTGATTGACCGTTTGACCTTGGGGCACAAACTCTTTGTGGACGATTCCGTGGATATCGAAAAAACAAATCAGCATGCATTCGATCTTTGACTTCGCCATCCTTGCCTTTTTTGGCCTTGGAGAGGTTGAAGTGTGCCACTCCATGCTCTGGCGCTTGGTTTCTGGGTCATACTCAAACACCCAAGTCTCGTCGCCAATAATGACACGTTCCAGAAAATGGGGGTCATTTTCAATTGAATCCAAAAAGTCAAGGCACCTTTCCTTCCTGATGTTCTTCAGGTCTTGCGAAAGGTTTTTTTGGAAACATTTTTGCGCAGATTTTTCTCATCCCCAATTCATTGGTCAAAATTTGATGAACGGTGGTGTGAGTCAAATTTAACTCTTCCCCTATCATTCTGACTGTCAACCTACGATCTGAACGCACAAGATCCCGGATTATGTCGACATTTTCATCGGTTCTTGAAGATGAAGGACTTCCGCTTCGTGGTTCATCTTCAATCGACTCTCTTCCTTCTGAAAATGCCTTAAACCAGCGAAAAACCTGGGCCCTTGACAAAACACTATCTCCGTAGGCCTGCTGAAGTTTCAGAAGAGTTTCCGTTGCACTGTGCCCAAGTCTGAAGCAAAACCTTATAGCACACCGTTGCTCGAAATTGATGTCATTCATTTTTAGAACACAATAGAAAAAACTGTTTCACAAAAACAATCGCTACCCACAACCAAATGACTCGAGCGAGATCAAACTCGTACTGAAGGTGGATCACATGTTCCTCTGCCGCCCCACTAAGCCCCGCGCTTCCAGTGTTGCCAGATCAAACGCAACGTTGCCAGTCTCATTACTTAATTTACAGACCTCGTATTCTTAAGCGACGAGTTCTTAGCGATCTCTTTCCCAATGACAATCGTACATGTTCGGTTTAATCGTAAGTAGTCGAAGAGAGTTACAGAGTAGAAAAACGTCAAAAGAAGTCGGGATAGAGAAAAGATCTCTTGCCTTTCTCATATTTCTAGTTACGGAGTGCCGCTCCTGGTTAGCAATGCTTTTCGAATGGCACTGAGACCATAGGTACTGAGACGCCGCACGGCGTAATGCGACTAATGCGCGCCAAAAGCCAAGCCTACCGAGAACAGGTGGTCAGGGCGAGTGGGAGGGGATAATCAGCTGATATGACACTACGGTATATGTGCTCTCACGAACAGTATTGCCGTTCGTAGCGACTTGTCGCGAAAATAGCGACATTTTAATGGTTTGTGAGAGTAGCGGTGATTTAGTCTAAATTAGCCAAAATAGCGACTTTTTGGTTCTTAATATGTTAAGTACCAGTGTAATAAAATAACAAAACACTATTAGTTATATAGATGATTTCAATTGACGCCATGATGTGGTTGCAATGGCCTGCTGATGGTTATCTGAGGATAAATCAGTTGTCTAGTAAAAAACTAATTCTGTAATTATTGAGCATTCCAACAAATAAATTTTATAATTTTACCGACACACATATTTAAACAAAATGAAGAATCATTCAACCAGTTTATACAGAACTACTGAATCTGTTCACAAATTAGATTTAGACTCAAGCTGAATATATTTTTTTTATTTATTGATGTTATTTAAATTTTTAGTTTCTAAATTCTTTAAAAAATGTTTATTTTTAGTTTTTTACGCATTACAACACATACGTTAGTGTATGTTTAATTGCATATTTCATCAATCATTATGTAGCGACAAAATAGCGACTTTAGGCGATCAAAAATAGCGACAATAGCAGATGTCGGTGCGGCAACACTGCTTATGAATCATGATACGGGACAGTAGCGATCCAAATAACATTGGGCGATATGCTTATTAGGACGCCGTCCGGCGTTCTGTCACCAGATGCTTTTGAATATTTGACGCCATACGGCGTCGTGTCACGTACTTAAGGAAGCAGAATTACGCCGTACAGCGTAGATGCCACTGAACGTGTTAATTAGTGAACAACTTAATGTTAGAAATAGAAATTACATAAATACCAATGATGTAAACGTCTCTTTTTCTTCGCAGGCGTCTCGTTTTAGTATCATCGTCAAGGCGATATCTTCGTGTTGCCAAATAAAGAGAAGACATTTATGAATCGTATCTGAAGCATCCGAATCGCCATTTTTCCTACACTTATACTGGAAATCGAAATTCGGTTTCGGCATCGTCGGTTTTTTGCTTTTGTCATCTTTGCTCGCTTTGAATTTGCAGTTAAAAAAACTGTTGGATTTCGGCAAGACCGACATCTTTCCCCCGATCGGCCCGATTTTCCCGTTCGGAATCTTTTTCGGCAAATCCAAATCTTCGTAACTTTTACAAACGTGCGAATCTCTAAGGCGGGTTTCTTCGAATAAGTAGCGGGACATCGAGGTCCCGTCCGGCTTGAAATGAGGGTAAATCGGATCGGCGAGGGTTTTGTAATAAACGGATTTTCTTTCGAATGGAATGGAATTTGTCGTGCAGGATTCTTTTCTTTGAAAAACCTTTCCGTTGGAATCCTTTTTTTGGTGCAAAATTTCGTTGTTGCAGATCAATAGCGGATTGAAATGTACGATTTTTTTCTGTTCTTGTAGAGGAGTGTTGCAAACGATGATTTGGCTGGACGAATGTGGAATGTTGAATTGTTTTAAAGGTTTTTTCGAGACGGTGCTTTCGAGATTTAGAAAACGAGGTCGATTTTTTTTTGTTGTCGTGGAAAACGTTGGGGGTTGTTTGGATACCGGTAAAGATTCTTCTTCTGGTACTGATGTGAATATTAAAGATTGTTCTCGTTTCATTACCGACAAAACGGAATTGTCGGTATTTTTTTGTGGAATTTTTGGAGGTTTCTGAAATCAATTTTTTTATATTTCTATGACTTGAAATGTGATTCAATCGTTTATTTATACCTTTTTAATTCCTCCTACAGCATTTAATTGTTCAAAAATATTACTTTCTTTAACCTCTTTGAGCAACTTGGAATATTCTTTATGGGCTATAAATACTTCATAAAGCTGAACTTCCGATGATAGGCCAAATGGCAAATTATTTTGAATAGGTGGGTATTGAACATTACCCGTTCCAGACAGTACAAGTAATTGGGTTAGCAATGTACAAACTTGTGTGGCGATTAATCTAAAATAAAAAAGACATTTATAAGGATATTTAAACATATTTATGGAGTATTACCTATTGCGGTATACAATGATCCCTCCTAGGACATGCTTAGTGGTTTTACAACATTCCAAAATTTGTATTGCTTCAATAAATATATCATTCAATTTCTACAAAAAAAAAATACGTCTTTTATGAATTTAATGCCAAATAGACAACAAAAACTAACTTGGCAGCTAACGTGTTAAAGGGTTAATTAAATTATACATAATAATTTAAAAAGGGCTCATGAAAAAAAGTGTATTTTTAAATTTAGTACTTATACCTTTGTTCCTGGTGTCTGGGAACATAATTTTCCAGAAAAATTTAATATTTTCAAGTATCCATCAAGAATATTATGCAATTTCTGTAGGGTGCCATTGCTCTTTGAAACACTGTCCAAAATATCGATATCCAGATGGAAAAATTTTAAAGTAGAGTACAAATTTTTAGCGATGTATTGCAAAAATTTAGTTGGTGCATGTTTGTCTGTACCTAACACCTGAAATAATTAATTACTAAATAATTAATAAAATAAACTAAATTTTAAAATCAATACCATATAAAATTATTTATTAATAAAAGTAAAGTAGCAACTAATTTCGGCTAACTAGCTATCATCAGGCGTATAATACAAAAAATCCAAATTTGATACAGGTTACATTTCATATTTTATAAAGAAAATGTTTATACCTACAATATTATTAGAAAAAATGTTTAAAAGTGGTATGCATCAGTTATCAGATATCCAATGAATATAAAATGAAAAAGAATGTTAAATGTCAAAATGTAGACAATAACACAGAACAAGTGAGAATACGTAAAAAATATAATTAAAGTTGACATAATATAGAATATATGTAGATTTGATAGAAGATAAAGAACCCTGTGGAACGTGGAACGCACGGATATAATGTGTTCATCTGGGGATTTACCATCAAGGTGGTTTAGAAGCCTGTCAAATAGCCACTTACAAAAAAACGGGGCCTGTGGAGACCCCTCTGGTGTGAAAAGAATAGGTACGTACTGAATACAAAAAGCACTTAGATCATGCTGAGATACCTAACAACAAATTTAGCAAATACAGAACCAGCCGAGGTAGCAGAAATATTTGCAGAACAGTTCAGTGCAGCTTATAAAAAAAACCTGATACATAATCAGTGCAAATAACTGCAACAGAAAGAGATGAGAATAGCATAGCATTTACCCCAGAACAAGTTAAATTTGCAATGTTATTTTATGTTGGGAATAGGGTGTTAATACACTGCGACCTAAAAGATCTATTGTGTCCCCTTTTGTCGCTAATGCACCAAGAAAAATGTCTCAATGCCTATAACGACCCTTCTAAGCCTATCTTTTCAAGGAAATGTAGGATTTGGAGTGACATCAAATTAGGTAAATCTCCCTCTTCTATTTGATATGGTATGGTGCCCTTGGATTCTGGAGTGCTACACATTCAGTTAGAATGTGAATAGAGGTTTCACCCTTCTCCTCACAGAATCTGCACTCACTATCCTCTATTACTCTCAGGTGTCCTTTTAGTCGACAATGCCCGGTAAGGATCCCTGTTACAATACGTAGCCTGTTCTTGCTCAGGCAGATGCAGGCTTCCAATCTTTTCTGGTTATATTCACCCAAACGTATCTTAGCCTATCCTAACCCCAAGAGATTGTTCCAATTAGCGGTTATCGTACTGTCCAACAGACGGTCAAACAAGATTCAAGTCCTGAAATAGATGAAATCCCAACCATTTTTCTTAAAAAATGTTCTAATAGTCTTCTTAATTTCCTCGCAACAGTTATGAACGTCTCTATGCAAATATAGGAACTGCCAATGGTCTGGAAATAGGTCATAATCACTCCAAAGGCAACAAAAAGAATCTCATAAACTACCGTCCAGTCAGTCTTAGAAGATATATCGGTAAAACAATGGAAACTATTATTACAAAAGAAGTAAGCGAGTTTATGATGGAACACAGAGTTTTACCAAGCAATCAGCATGGATTTACGCTCAAAAGAACTGTTGTTACAAATCTTTTAAGTGCAGTTAACCAGTGGACAACTTGGAATGACAACAACCAGCCAATTGATGTGATAATATCTTGAGTATGAGAAAGTTTTTGATAAAGTTCCACATAGAAGGCTGCTTAGCAAAAAACTAAAAAAAATTGGAATGAGGCAATCTATTATTGTGGTATAAGAGTTTCTTATTTAACCAGCAGTTGAAAGATATGAATCGTACCTGCCACTTCTGGCTCTTTTATTTGTTCTATTATAACTTTATATGGCTTATGAAAGATATATTTTGGTGAGATGGAGTCCATGTTCGCTTGAAGCAGTGGGAGCGTATCCAGCGCCTCCTGCCAAAAGTGACGTCTCGCCCCACCAGATCCTACATCAGGTTCTATTCCGATCGTACAGAGGCGTGTCATTGTCGTCAGAGCAACCTCCTTGATGTAAATATCAAGGGGAGTGAGACTAAGAATGACTTCCATGGCTCTAGTCGGTGTTGTTTTCATGGCTCCTGTTATGTTGAGACATGCTGTTCTTTGAATTTGTTCTAGGTTACGGATAGCTGTTGATTTTTGGGTTTTCGGTACCCAGACAACTGCACCGTATGTTAGCATAGGTCTTATGATAGCCGTGTAAGTCCATGCGACGATTCTGGGGGAGAAACCCCAGGTGCGCCCCACGGTTCGGCGGCATTGTTCATAAGCAATGTATGCTCTTTTAACTCTGTTTTCTAAATGCGAGTTCCATTTTAACTTGCTGTCAAAGGTGAGGCCTAGGTACTTCACCCTCTATTGCAAAGTTTAGTTTTGTGTTTAGGAGTTCTGGAGGTTTTAATTCCATTTTCAACGTTTTCCTTGTGAAAAGGACCATTTCTGTCTTCTTAGGATTGATAGACACTGAATGGTCTTTGCACCACTGTTCTATCATTTTTGGAGCCACTTGCATTCTTTCGCAGAGTATGTTCTCAAAATTCCGTTTGCAGAATAACCAGGTCATCTGCATATGCTATTGTGTAGTGAGGCGGCTGATGAGGGTGTCGAGGACCAAATTCCACAGTAAAGGTGATAGCACCCCTCCCTGTGAACATCCCCTCACAACCAAGCCTCTTATATTCACATCTTCTACACTTATGTTTACTGCTCTCTTTGAGAGCATGTTATGTATCCACCCACTAACTATTTGTGGAACATTCCTATTGGTTAGTGAGTGTATTATCTTTGGGAAGGTGGTTTTATCAAAAGCACCTTCTATGTCTATAAAAACACCCAAGGCGGACTCCTTATTATCCAGGGATTTTCCTATCCGGCCAGCAACTACATGAAGGGCTGAATCAGTAGATCTGCCTGGGGTGTATGCATGTTGGTTTGGGTGTAGTGGTGTTGTTGTAATCACCGCATCTTTTATGTATCTTTTGCATAGCCTTTCTAATATCTTCATGGAAAACGATGTCAGACTAATTGGTCGGTATGTTTTTGGGACAGTGTAATCCATCCTTCCAGGTTTGGGTATAAATACCACTTTTACCTCTCTCCATTTTTTGGGGATATACTTCAGAGCCAACGAGGATCTGAATATACCCACCAAGTGCGGTGTGAGTTCTTCCAGACCCCACTGAAGTAGGGCTGGATAGATACCGTCAGGTTCTGGCGATTTTAATGGAGAGAAGCTGGATATTGCCCATCTAATTTTTTCATCGTCTACAATGTGTTTGGCAGTTTGCCAATCATAGACAGATGGATTGTATTCTTCCTCTGCCCAGTCGGCCACGTCTGTGATGACCGAGTCAGGGAAGTGTGTTGACAGCAGAAGTTTGATGCTATCTTCGAGGTTGGCAGTTTTCGTGCCATCCTCTTTGATTAGCGCACCAATGCTTCGGTGTGGATCTTTTGAGAGAGCTTTTTGAAGCCTCGCTGCCTGCGGGAAATCTTCGATTTCTTCGCAGTAGGATCTCCATGCAATTCTCTGACGATTTTTTTGTATTCTCTGAGGTGAGATTTATAAGTATCCCAGTCCTCTTTGAGTTTTGTGGTTGTTGCCATATTAAAACTGGAGAGTTATCACAAAATGAAACAATACTTGAATAAAATATGAATCTGGTCCCAGCAAAGGCTACTACAACTCAACATAAATAAGTATACAGTATTGCATATTGGCTCAAATAATCCCCACACACCATAGATACAAACGCAATAACTCCAGTCGAAACACAAAAGGATCTTGGTGTAATCATATCTAAAGACTTAAAATGGGAAACACGCATTGCTATAATATAGTGAAGAAAGTCAACAGTCTCATTTACCTCATCAAAAGAGCTTTTAAAGACCATTCCGAAGATATGATCCTCAAAATGTACCAAAGATAGAATTTGCACAAACCATACTTTGTTAAAGACATTGAACTGCTGGAAATAGTACAAAGGAGAGTCACCAAAATACCACCAATCCTACAAAACAATGAGTACTGTAATTGGCTAACCAAGCCACTTTCAAGTTTATAAGATAGAAAAACTAGAGAAGTCTTGATGGAAACTTACAAGTGGACCATTGGATATTACACCTGTATAATAACATCTTCCAGGCCAGCACATCAAGAACCTTGAGAGGTCACTCAAACAAATTAGATAAAAGTGCAATAAACTGCAAAGAAAAAATTTCATTACAAACAGAACTGGGAAATGGTCTCCAGGAACATACAGTCTCAGCCCAGAACATAAACCAGTTCAAGACGAGAGTAGATAAAGAACTTGAAGAAAGAAGAAATAAATTTATTCATTATAGTTTATAGAATAGTTTTAACTGTCATGTAGTAATTTGGAATAATTTTTGTCACTAAATAAAAGAGCAGCTTCATCGATTATGTCGCTTGTCTGTTCTTAATAATAATAATAAAATGTTATTAGCCTGCAGGATTCTATTATAACCATCCCTAGACACCCCCTAGCGACAACCAGCAGGATTTTGATGAGTTGATAATCTGCAGGATTTTAATGAGCTGGGAGTTGGCTGTCTCTAGACACCTCTCATCGACAACCAGCACTTTTTGACAAGTTTAATATCTCTGAGGCAAAGACATTTTGCTCTGAAGTTTAATGACATGAAAACGAAATTAAAAACATCATGAATAGTAATAATGAAGAAATCTTTGACAAGAAAGATATAGCCAATGAATTTAACATTTATTTTAATAAAATTGGTAAATCATAAGCCAAAAAATAGTACATTGCGATATTGAGAACAAGGTTAAATCAACTCGGAACTCTTTCTATTTCACTCCAATATATGACAATGAACTCATATTACAAATAAATAGCCTGAAAAATAATGTAGAAGGTGGCCAGGATAATATTAGTGCTAACATAATTAAAAATGCCCATGCTCATTTGTTGAATCCATTAAAACATATTATAAATAACATCTTTAGCTCAGGAATCTTCCCTGATAGACCTAAAAGCGTCATAATTGTTCCATTATGCAGACAAGGTGACAAAAAAATCACAAATCATTATAGACCTATTGCTTTAACAAGCACCATTAGTAAAATTATAGAAAAATGAATTAAGCTTAAGTTGTTGCCATTTATAAACAAGTATAATTTAATCAATGAAAAACAATATGGCTTTAGGGATGGTTCCTGTACTGAAGATGCTTTTTCGAAGATTGGATCAGGGAATAAGGTCATTGTATGTTTCTAGACTTGGCTAAAGTCTTTGATACTGTGGCACACCAAATGCTACTAGATAGGTTACATCACATTGGTATAAGGGGTATAGCTAACAATTTAATTAAATCATACTTAAGTGGTAAATCCCAACATGTTAGATTTCAAAAGGAGTTAAGCGAGGAACTTATATAGTGGAGTTTGGTGTGCCACAGGGCACAGTGCTGGACCATTGCTATTTAATATATATGTAGATGGTATCTTGTCCACTATTAATGAGGGGAATGTCTACTGCTTTGCCGATAACATGGCTGTCATAATAAGTGGGCAGGATTGTGATTTATATCTAATTAACCTCTTTCTAAGAATGCATATAAGTGTCATTAAGCGCACACACAGCATATTAACTTGCCATTGAGTGCTGAATAGTTTCCTCTCCTTTCAATAATGCAACCAGGAGACAAGGTTCAATTAATTCCTAGCAATGAAAAAAAAAATGAATATTTAAAATTAGACCATTAAAAGTTTTGTCTTCTAATTTATAAGTTCTTGATTACTTTGAATGTTAGGCTACTAGTGAACTTAAGTCGCACTGTTAGGTAATTAGGATACCTTGTTTATATTTTTAAATTACTGTAAACTGAATGGCTAATAAATGAAATATAAAATAGTTTCTTAGTGAAAATTATAGGTGTAAGACTTGAAACTTTAATGGGGCATTTTTGAATTATAGTGATGATGACTACTTACCAGAAACTATGCTACTTTATGCTGTTCTATGTAGTTTTATATGGTATTGAGACAATGGATAAACTTTTATACTAAATAATTAACCATGCTTTCTTTTATTTATTATATAAACTTACGAAATATACTTTTTTGGATTCAATAACTAGAAATTTTCCATTCTGTAATGATATTATGTCGGGTTTGGAAAACAGATTTTTCATACACTGAATAGTTCCGATAATTTGACCACATAAAGCGCCTTTTTGATCATCTGAAACCCATTCAGGGTAGAAATACAAAATACTTTCCAATCCATTATCTATTTCATTTCTACTAGTATTATATACAAAAAATATTTGTATATTCCTGAAAACAATTATATAAACATCAATTCCTAAGCCCTATGTGAAAAAAAAAAACAATATTCTAAAATACAACTCCTACCTACATAATACGAAACAATTTTATAGTAAAATATAATAATGAGCTGTGTAAAATATATAGATAAATCAAAATAAATTCGAATTAACCACGTAAACCATTTTATAAAATAATCTATTTGTATTATATGATAATATCAGCAATTTTAGTAGTTATTTTGTAGTTTAAGAAATACAAAAAGTTTGTAAAATATAAATATACCTACACCGTTTAATTCAAATTTATTAAAATGAAAATAATTAACATTGTATGTAACTGAAAATTAAAGAAAAACAAATAAACACAATTATTTCAGTACTTAGCCATTGATGAATTTCGGATGTTAGATCATTTTAAGTTTTTAGTAAAAAAACATTATTTAAACCACACATATTTTGCAAATTATATTGATTTATTGATTTACAAAAATAACAAATAAACACTCAAACATAACCACAACAATTTCACAGAACTACAGAACACGGAAATTAGACATCTGAGATAATCGATCCATTCTCTTTGACGGTTTTTCCAATCACTCAAATATATTCTTGATGGCCGATCCCCCCGTATATAATTAAATATCGAACAGATCAACTATAATAGCTAGAACCACCACGTTTTCATTTTGATACCATTTGACAGTATTTAATGGTAGAACAGAAGTAAAAGTTGGAAATGCTTTTGCCAGTTCTCCCACTTTATACACATAAATTGACAGGTTGGCACCGGATCTCACCGAACTGGACGCGATACATTGGCGTACAAAATTATTTTATAGATTTTAATAACAATTTCGAGTAAATAGTTTAATAAATTGTGAATAGCTGTTGAAATTTTGTAAAATTATAATTTGAATATTATAATACATGTTTAATAATTATTTATAATCCATAAGTACATGCGATTGTCCGGTTCCGCCGATAACAATTTAAAATTACTTATTCTATGAAACGACACTGGCAGATAAACATTACTGTGAAATTCTCGGAGCCGCCCGACGTGGTTTGACGTTTACTCCCTCTCTACCTACCAAAAGACTTTTCAACTTTTACTTTCTCAAAATGATATTTATCTTTCGATTGAACCATATTCATTTTAATATTTTTCTTGTATGATAATTACACTTGAAATAAAATAAAAATAAAAACTACTAAACAGTAATTATCAACTCTAATCTACACTAGGTCTACGTATTAAACATAAATAGTTTGTTCTATTTTACAGTTCAGAGTGATTTGCGTTTTGTTAGTTAAAAAGCAGTATATATTTTAAAAAGGGAAACATTCATATATTAAGAAATTAAACAAAGAGGTAAAATAGTAATTGACTTTCAGCCTGTCATTTTTTTTAACCCGATGAATATAAACGAACAAAGATATTGTTCGATTTCTGTTCTGAAAGGTTTTGGTTTCGAGTTTTGATGTTGGTATATGGTGACTTCTCCAGCTCCAGATATTTCTTACCTCTCATTTAATTATTTCACTTCGTAAAAAAATTGTTTTGGTAAAACGTTTTACATACATCATACAATATGTATTACAAGTTTAAATGTGAAATACGGCTTTTATTAATCAAAAAATAGATATACTAAATTGTTATCGAATTTAGTTGTTAAAAAGAAGCCACTAGGAAATTATCAAGGCAGTTTTAGCGAAGTTCATCAACGCTTGATGAATATAATTTAGTGAGTTTATCAACAATGGGGTCCTCTAAACGACGAGGAGACAGATCTAGGTCTCGAGATAGAGACAGGCGAGATAGAAAAAGGAGTAGATCTCGAGACAGGTACAGGGACAGGGACAGACGTCGAGAAAGGAGCAGATCAAGAAGTCGCGATCGCGATAGGGATAGAAGGCGTGAAAAAGTTCGATCCCCAACACCGACAGAACAGGATGGTGATAAAATGATAGCAGATACCCTTGCAACTATTGCGGCCACTAGAAATTTCGCAAGTTTGATATCTAAAGAAGGTGATGGCAACTCCAATATGTCTTCAGGTATCGAGCTTTAATTCATAAAATTGCTGCTCATTAAGATACTTCAATGTTACAAAATTAGTTGTCTTAGTATACAGTAAATGATGTAGATTTTATCTTTTAAAGGTAGCACAGAAGACGATAGAAAGAAAAAGAAACGCTCCAGGTGGGGTGGAAGTGAACATGAGAAAATTTTTATTCCTGGAATGCCAACAATTTTACCCCCTAATCTAAATAAAGATCAGGAAGAAGCATATTTACGTAAGTTTGATAATGAAATGAAATAACTTTTATTTTACACTTTATTTTTGTTGTAGTTCAACTGCAAATAGAAGAAGTGAGCAGAAAACTGCGATCTGGTGATTTGGGTATTTCACCAAATCCTGAGGAAAGGTATTTTTCTTTCAAATTGAATATGAGTAGGCAACTTTAGTATGTATATTCCGTTTTAGATCTCCATCTCCTGAACCAATTTATAGTAGCGATGGAAAGCGTTTAAATACAAGAGAATTTCGCACCAGAAAGCGCTTAGAGGAGGAAAGACATAGTCTTGTAATGAAGATGCAATCAATTAATCCGGAATTTAAGCCTCCTCTTGATTACAAGTATGTATAATTTAATTAAAACTAAGTTTTGATATGCAACTAAAATCTGTTAGATACTCCTTTGATATTTCAGCATTTTCTTTCAATATTTGATGATGTTGCTGCATTGGCTTTTCTTCTTTCTACTTTTTAATTAATTCTCTTTTGACACATTCACTGCCCACACCACCGCTACCATATTCAGGATACATTGTATAAAATTATAATTTTGCAAATAATTGTTGGGTATTTTTATAGCTGGATAACCCTAGTACATGTTCCTTGTTTTTTTACCATTAAAGTAAGTATAAATGGGAGCCAAATTAATTCTAGCCTTAGTGAAAATTATATTAATTACTTTGCTTTGAGGATTATGTCAGTATGGGTTGAGATCAAGATCAGTAGATCAAACATGCTTCTGTCATGTATTTAGCATCCTGGACTTGTTGGAATGCAAGAAAATACACATTTGATGGATTTGATCAAGAAAGCATCAGAAGAACAAACCAGAGTTATATTTGAAGATTTTAACTATCGCGAAATAGACTGGACAACTCTAACACTGACTGAAAGCAACATAGAAGTGAGGGATTTTATTAAATCATACACAGGGTCCAGTTTCAAACAACTTATACATTTTCGTATTAGACTGTGCAAGGGTTAGGAATCCAGGCTCAATTTACTATTAGTCAATGACAAAACTGGATCCACATACAGTATTAAAAAAACTTCTGGAAAGCAGATTATACATTAATAAATAGTGAGACAGCTCAACATAGATGTTGCTAATAGTTCTTATGAAACTTTAACCAAACATACCGCACAAAGAAATAAATGACAGTATTCCACTAGAAGTAATAAATAAAAACCCTTTAAAACACTGGTTCAATCGAACCTACTTCAAAGAAATGAATAAAAAACGGGATCTATGGCATAGGTACAGGTCAACAAGAGCCAAGGAAAATTATGCTGCATATAAAAATCAGAACAATAAATTTAAAATGTATTGACTGTGTCTAGAAAATATTATGAACATAACCTCTTTTACAATAGATAGTCTTAAGCATAGATGAAATCCCACACATTTTTCTTAAAAAATGTTCTACTAGCTTTCTTAATCTCGTGACAGTTATGAACAACTCTATGCAAAAATAAGAACTGCCAATGGAATGGAAACAGGCTATAGTCACTCCTATATATAAACTACTGTCCAGTCAGTCTTACAAGCTGTATCGGTAAAGCAATGGAAAAGATTATTACAAAAGAAGTAACTGAGTTTATGATGGAACACAGAATTTTATCAAGCAATCAGCATGGATTTACGCCAAAAAGATCTGTTGTTACAAATCTTTTAAGTGCAGGTAACCAGTGGACAGCTTGGAATGACAACAACCAGCCAATTGAAGTGGTATATCTTGTTTATGAGAAAGCTTTTGATAAAGTTCCACATAGAAGGCTGCTTAACAAACTGGAACACTTTGGAATAAGAGGCAATTTATTATTGTGGATCAGGAGTTTCTTATTCAACTGGCAGTTCTGTGTAAGAATAAATGGACTGCTGTCAAACAACCATCCAGTAGAAAGTGGAGAACCACAAGGTTCGGTCTTGGGTCCCCTATTATTTAATTTATACACCAGCGATTTAGGCAATCTTTAGCCATCTTTTATGCAGACAATGGAAAGATCTGCATGCTACTGGAAAGCTCTTACAAAATGAAACAAGATTTGAATAAAATAAGAATGTGGTTCCAGCAATGGCTACTATCCCTCAACATAAATAAGTTTACAGTATTGCATATTGGCGCAAATAATCCCCACACATAGTATAAAATGTGTAAAATGGGAAACCCACATTGCTAATATAGTCTCATTTACCTTATCAAAAGAGCTTCTAAAGAACATTCTGAAGATATAATCCTCAAACTGTACACAACTTACATAAGACTAAAGATAGAATTTGTTCAGACCATTTGGGTTCCATACTTTGCTAATTATATTGAACTGCTGGAAAGAGTACAAAGGGAAAGTCACCAAAATACTACCAACCCTACAAAACAATGAGTATTGTGATCGGCTAGTTAAACTACAACTTTCATGTTTAAAGGATAGAAAAACTAGAGGAGATTTGATAGAAAGTGTACTAGTGGACATTACACCTGTGATAACATCTTCCAACCCCCACACATCAAGAACCTTGAGAGGTTACTCGAAGAAATTATATAAAGAAAAGTGTAATAAACTGTAAAGAAAATATTTAATTACAAACAGAACTGTATATCTCTGGAATGGTCTCCAGAAACCTACAGTCTCAGCCCAGAACACAAACTAGTTCAAGGCGAAAGTGGAGAAAGAACTTGAAGAAGGAAGAAATAATTTTATTGATTATAGTATATTAAGTTTTAACTGTTATCCTGTGGGATATAGCCCAATAAAGGAAGAAGAAGAAAGTTTTAACTGTCATGTAGTTATTTAGAATAATTTTTGTCATTAACTAAAAGAGCAGCTTCAATGATTATGTTGTTTGCCTGTTCTTAACAATAATAATTGTATTAGCAAGACTATAAAGGTAATGGACTGTATCTAGATTGGATTGCTGCTTACATTTGTTTTGATAGCTATAAGTGGGGGAAAATAATTCTATTAAATTATAAGTAATACATTTATTTTAATAACCATAATGAAATTATTATTTTTGGCCTGTCTACATTCCACCAGGGTTAAATCTTGATGCTTATATTGATCATTGTTCTGCTGTTGAGCTTGTAGTGGAAAACAACCCTAACAATAAACTATACCTTTTTGGGGACTATAATCTTCCACATGTTACATGGAATTATTTGTATGATGATGGTCTTTCTGTCTCTTACCCTGCAGAATATCCAAGCGTAATAATTAGTGAGAGTTTTTTCTACTTGAATTTGAGTCAGGCCAATGGAATTCCAAATCAGCACAGTATATTCCTCGACTTATGTTTTTGTAACAATGACGCTAGGAATTCGGTTACTATCGAGACAGCTGTAGATACCTTATTGCCTAATAACTTCCACCATGTTGCAATTTCATGTGAATTAACTGGCAGTGATATTAGTCCCTTGTCATATCAGATTTTAAAATTGGCATTAGCTTTATTTGTACCTGTTAGGAGATATAAACCATCAGTATACCCTAGATGGTTTTTAGCTGAACTTAAAAAGTTGATTTCTCTCAAGATGCAGCTCATGCTGTATTCAAAAGTACTCGCTCAGCTGTTGATTACTTAAATTTTTCTAACCTTCAGTCTCAATGTAAAAATTTTTCCAAACTAAATTATGAAAATTATATTTCTGGTATAGATCTGAAGGTTTGTGAAAATACAAAATACTTCTGGAACCACATTAATTCTTTGAAATAAGATCATGGTATTCCCAATAGAATGTATTATAATGGTACAATTGCTGATAATGGGAAAGACATCAGTAATTTGTTTGCTACGCATTTCTCCAGTGTTTATAAAAAAGATATTGTATATGAGCCAAACCTTCATCATAATGCTTTTAACCAGCCTGATATTCCCTTTATACAGTTCTCCTTAAGTGATGTTTATGATGGTATTAACTCACTAAAAGATAAATTAAGTTATGGTCCAGATGGAATCCCTGCTTATTTTTTGAAAAAATGTAAATTCAGTCTTTCCATACCACTACAGTTTTTATTTAATTCCTCTTTGGAATTACAACAGTTTCTTGCAAAATGGCGTGATAGTTTCATTACCCCCATATTTAAAAATGGCCAGAAAGATGACATAGTTAACTATCGCCCTGTAGTTTTACTTTCTGCAATACCTAAATTATTTGAATTATTGTTATATAAACCTTTGTCATGGCATTGCAAAAACATTTTCATTGAACAACAGCATGGGTTTATGGGAGTTAAGTCTACTAATACAAATTTACTGCTCTACGAACATTATATCATTTCTGCCTTCGAGAGGGGGTATCAGGTTGACTCAATTTACACTGACTTCTCGAAGGCATTTGACACGGTGAACCATGATTGGCTTTTAAGGAAACTAGTGAAATTCGGGTTTCCAAACTACTTAGTGAAATGGTTAGAAAGTTACCTGCAATCCAGGGTTCAATATGTCAAAGTTAAAAGTTTTACTTCGATTCCAATAAATTTAAGTTCAGGTGTCCTCCAGGGATCTCATTTGGGACCATTACTATTTAATATATTTATTAACGATGTGGCTTCAGGATTTAAATATTGTAAGTTCCTACTATTCGCCGATGACCTGAAATTATTCATAAAAATCTTAAACTTACCTGACTGTTTGAAGTTAAATAATGCCATGTCTTTAAATCCACGTAAATGGTTTTCAATCACCTTCACAAGATCAAAAAATCCTATAAAATTTCTTTATAATATCAATAGTACTGTTTTGGAGAAAGTTAGTGAAATTAAGGATCTAGGTGTGATCTTTGATAGTTCTTTGACATTTTTCACACACATGAGATCCATCATTAGTAGAGCTCTGAAAACATTGGGATTTGTGACCAGGAACTCTAGGGAATTCTCTGTGCTTACATTCCGACCCTTGTATTTAACACTAGTGCGCAGCATCCTCTTATATGCTTCACCAGTCTGGTCACCTCATTACCGAACTCCTATTTTAAATTTAGAAGCAGTTCAAAATAGGTTTCTAAGAACTTGTCAGTGGAGGTTACATATGCCTTATCTTTTTAATAGGGAGCTTAATAACCATTTAAACTTATTATCAGTTGAGAAAACGTTAATTAGTAATGATCTTTTATTTCTTTATAACCTCCTGGAAGAGAATATAGCTTGTCCGGATATGTTGGAGCTAACAAACTTTAGATTAAACAACATAAATATTAAAAAGAAACCATTATTTTCAATTAGCTTCCATCATACGAACTACGGACTCAACAGTCCTTTAACCAAATTTCAAAGGCAAGGAAATCAAATTAACAGACACACTGATATGTTGGGAGTTAGTCGGTTTAGGTTTAAAAATCAGCTGAGGGAGTACTTATTGAGTTAGCTTTAGCTCTAAGTTTTTTTCTAAGTTTTTGTGATATTTAAGTTTTTTTTCTTTTTTGTGTGATACTTTAGCTTAGGTTTAAAATATCTACTGATAATAATTATTTTGTAAAAGGAGATTTTCCGTAAATAAATAAATAAAAAACATTTACAAGATTAACTATTGGATAACTAGGAATACTTAAAGCCCTGAATATATTGTTGTTCATTTAGCATATTATATAGCTATTTACCTATTTTGAACGACTATAAATAATAATTATATAATATATGTAAATATTCTAGAAAATGTAAACAAAATCAAAAAAAGATAAAATAAATAAACTAAAAAAAAGATGATTAAAAAATATTGAATTATTTTTACAATTTAAAAACTGTATTCTTCATGTTTTTTTTTTTTTTTAATCTCTAATAGTACATGATCTAGTAGATTTTTTCATACTATTGAGTCACCCTATATTTATAGTTATTTTCAAATATTTCGAGTTCTATTTATCTTCTTTTAATCAAATTTGATGTTTTAAACAGTAAAATGTAATTTCAGGAGTAAAAGTAGTTGTCATCTATTATATTCTATTATGATTTTCTATATTCGGTTATTAATTGACTGGTCCATATTTTTAGGCCTCCTGTGACTAGAGTGAGCGATAAAGTGATGATACCTCAAGAAGAACATCCAGAAATCAATTTTGTTGGTTTGCTCATCGGACCCAGAGGAAATACTCTAAAAAGTACGTAGTTTATTGTTGTTATTCGAATCTGGCGTTATATTTAACATTTTTTTTTATCAGCAATGGAGAAGGAAACTGGCGCCAAGATTATTATCCGCGGAAAAGGCTCCGTTAAAGAAGGAAAAGTCGGTAGAAAAGATGGTCAACCATTGCCGGGAGAGGATGAACCGTTACATGCTTATATAACTGCGACCAATCCGGAATATGTAAAAAAAGCTGTAGAGAAAGTGAGTGAACTGCAAAACAATCCTGTTTTTTCCATCTAATATTTTTTATCATTTTAGATAAAAGAAGTGATAAGGCAAGGAGTGGAAGTACCTGAAAACCAAAACGATCTTAGACGTATGCAGCTCAGAGAGTTGGCCCAGTTGAATGGAACGTTAAGAGAAAACGACGGTTTGAGGTGTAACAACTGTGGAGCGACCGATCACAAATCTTGGTTGGTGAGTATCAACTCATTTTTAACAGACTTTAAAAAAGGAGGAGGTTTTCAATTCGTCGTAATATTTTTTTTTTATGTATGTTCAGCGATAATTCTTTAACATGGTGTTTGATTTCAATAATTCTTTTTTGTTAATAAGGGGGTACCTCAGGGGTGGTCCCATATACATTTGGTTAAGATGTGGTGATAGCATCTGCACGATTTTGAAGTCGGTTTTTTAAAATTACTTTTAAGGTTTTTATTTACTTGTTCTTCTTTTTTCGCTACTTTCTTTTTTATACAGTTTGAAATCTACCTTTATTCTTTTCGTATTTGCTAAAAAAATTACAAACAATTAACTGATCATCTGATAACGGCTTTTTTGTTTCCACCTTCCACATAAAAAATTAAATATTAATTAACAAGTGCGATGTTGAAAGTAATTTATTTGTGATAATAAAAACAAACAAAAAAACACTCCAAAAACCTTTTTTAGATAGGATTAAAAATCAAAATATTTATTACTAAAAAGATAAATATTTTCCACAATAATAGGAATCTGTTTCCTAATAAAATAAAAAAGTCTTACATTTTCTTTTTATCCTTGTTTGTCGTTCCTTTTTTTATATTCCTATTCAAATTTGCCTTGATTTTTAGTGCCCGGACAAACCGAACATCACCAACAGTATCGTGTGCTCGAGTTGCGGAGCCGCCGGACACATCGCTCGCGATTGCCGTTCCAAACGGCCCGGTCTAGGGGGCCCGCCGCTGCCGGGACAAGGCGACAAAGCCAAAATCGACGAGGAATACATGTCGCTGATGGCCGAATTAGGAGAGGGACCGCAACCGGTGTTTATTCAGAATGGAAATAACCAGCAAAGGAAAACGCAGACAGGTAATTTTTTTTCACTGTTTTTATGACGCTTATGTGTCTTATTTATGTTGCCGAATTTTAAAATAACAGTGTATTATTTCTATTTCTGCATTGAGGAATTATTTTATTTTTAATTTTAGATATTAATATATAAATTTAGGTTTATAATTTTTTTTTATTATTTTATATTCGATTTCGAGAAAAATATTTTAGTTTTATACTTAAAATTTTATGAGTTTCCAATGTGGTTACGTTGCCTAATAATGGAAGATAATCGTTAAGGATCTATGGGGTCTATTTTGTGAAAATTTGATTAAAATTAACCGTAGGTTATAAAAAAAACCGGATGTAAGTTTTAATTTTGTATTCTGTATTATTGGGTTAAAATTATAACTTATGTCAGTAATGATTGCATCTCGGTATAAGTACTCTAGCAATATTGACACTCCCTGGGCGGGAAAAAGACATGCAGCTTTTACTGTGATGACATTTTCGGGATATAATCTATCACTCGTCATAAATCTAGTTAAAAACTCGTTACCATGCACAGGCAACCCATATTTCGTACACAAACTAGAAACTTTTGTTTACATTTTATCGAAGTAGTTTTTGTAATACATTCACAGCTTAAAAACGGAAAATTTGTTTATTTTGATAGTGGATTTAGATCCAAAATACCACAAAAACACTTTAGTGTGTTTTATTGTTACATGTTATTGCTCTTTTTATTTGAGGATTGTAAGGGGTTTTCTCGCCACAGAGAAAACGGTTCCTTACGAATGACGCTGGTTACGGGCGGTTCTCGAGCGCCAGATTTTTGATGATGGTTTACTCCACAAACTTTCGAAACGGCGTCGAAAGTACTCGGATAGCTACAGATGGAGATGAAAAATTCCAGGGGTCAAAGAAACGGGCTTTAATCTTTGCTTGGGCTCGTACAGAATTTATCATTAGCTGAAATATAAGGGGGAAATAAAGTAGGAAATTATTAACCAGTAATACGGCAAGTTAACATTGACACATATAGTGTGAATAACTATTTATAACATAAAAAAAAATTATCTATTTCAACGCCCACCCCAGTTGTGGTGATAGTCAATATAACCCTGAATAAAAAAAAAAGAAATAAAACGGACGGTATTGAATCGCGACTAGTCTCAATCAGACGTCAAAATTTCACTATTTAGGTAAGGAAAAATTAGCTAAACGGTCATAGAGAGTGCGAGGAGACAGGGACGCGAAAGAATTACTTATAGTAAACATACGGAAAGAAAATAAAAATAAATTTATACCCGGGGTAGCCTATTATCCCAGAATGAGCTGATCGTCATCACGAGCCCGCTCAGACAGGGTAATGAAGCTATTTTTGATTTCTGCAAGTTGCAGTTTGCACAAAAAAAATGAAAAATATAAAGGGAAAAAGAAAACTAACGCGGATAGTACCTACTCCAAGAGTGAACTGATCGTCATTACGAGCCCGTTCAGACAGGACAGGATACTATTTAAGATTATTGAAATTTGCGGTTTTATTTATTTATTTATTTATACATTGTTCAACAGGTTAAACCCAATTACAGAACAGGAGTACATTTGAAAGAAAACAGTTTAACAAAAAGCATATAGATAATTAATCTAAAATTACAGTAAATAAATTCTAAATTATTTTAAACAATGTGTTTTTATGTTTTTAACACTGCAATTAAATATATCCAACTGTTCACTAATATTATTATAATTATTACACATGTTATATACAGGTGAAAACTTCAGAACGTTTGTCCGAGGAGTCGCTATGTAAAATGATTCAGTGTTTCGAGAGGTTGCGCATGGGATTCTAAAATTAAGCATATGTAAAAGAGCTTCACAATTGATTTTAAAATTAACAACTTTGTAGAGGGTAATTATGGAGAAGTACTTTCGTCTTACGTCGAGACTTGTCAATCTGTGTCTAGTCAGTAAAGCATTTTGAGTAATACCAATCGGTGGATAAATTTGGTCTGCCCGAAAATTTAAGTATTTGAGAAACGCCTTTGTGTGGATTCTATCCGACAAATGTGTATTTGATAATAAGGATCCCAAATAAACGAGGCATATTCGAGTTTAGATCGAACAAATGAGAAATACAATGATTTAATAGTATCTGTGTTTTTAAAATCACGGCCCACTCGTACTATGAATCCATACATACGATTTGCAGCTGTTGAGATGTTATCTATGTGGTATTTAAACGAAAATACTGGGTCAAATGTAACCCCTAAATCCATAAAATTGTTGGGTTTAGAAAGCAAACGTCCATCAAGGACATAATCGAATATAATTGGATGCGCTTTTAATGTGTATGACATTACGTTACATTTGACGGGATTCAGTGTAAGACCATTTTTGTTGCACCATTCAACAACTTTGTTCAAATTTTCCGACAACTGTTCACAGTCAGAAATATTTTCAATAGCTGAATATATTTTTAAGTCATCAACATACAGCAAATAATCAACATTTATAGCGTCACCAATGTCGTTGATAAAAATATTAAATAACAGCGGACCCAAATTTGAACCTTGCGGTATTCCAGAGGTGGCGCAATATTTGTTAGACTTGAATCCATTTAATTGAACATATTGTGTTCTTTGAGAGAGATACGATTGAAAAAGTGTGATCAAACTATTAGAAAGACCAAATGCGCAGAGTTTCTGTATCATAATATTATGATCAAGTCTATCAAATGCTTTTGTCATATCCGTATAGATGACGTCAGTTTGGACCCGATTATCAATATTTTCAGCTATTTCCTGTGTGATCACAGAAAGATTTGTTACTGTGGAACGCCCTTTAACAAAACCATGTTGCTGAGCTGAGATTGCGTTACAAACATGTTGATAAATACTACGTTCCAGTAATATTTCTAGAATTTTGCAGAAATTGCAAATGATAGAAATCGGCCTATAATTTTTGATATCAGTACGTTCACCTTTTTTAAAAATTGGGCAGACTTTAGAACATTTCCACATCGAAGGAATTGTATTGGATTTAAGGCAGATATTTATCAAAATAGTTAGAGGGCGAGCTAATACTGCTGAACAATCTTTTAAAATGAACGCAGGAATATGATCCGGTCCTGTGGTACGTTTAGGTTTAATGTTTTTTAAAGCATCTTGGACCTGGGTTTCAGAAAAATGAGTTATATGAAGCTGAGATGGCTGGACGTCCTTTAATGATATGTTTGAACCCTTGGAAGCGACATAAGATTGTCCAAAATATTCCGCAAAGCTTTCTACTATTTCTGTTGGATTATTTAATGTTTTATTTTTAAAACTCATGGTGCTTGCAACTTTACCTTGGCATCAACAGATTAACTAAATAAAAAAAAAATAACGCGGACAGCGCCTACTCCCAGAGAGAACTGATCGTCATCACGAGCCCGTTCACACAAGAACAGGATGCTATTTAAGATTATTCAAATATACGGTAAAAGAATAAACAAACTATTAAAAGAGGGAAAACGTCTCCTCGAAAACTCCGTTTATAAATATTCCTCCCAACTTAATTACAACGCGGCACTTACTAAACAAAAGTATTTATCAATAAAATCAAATTTAATTCCCGATTTAACCTACCAAAAAGAAAAAAAATTAAGTTCCTAATACAGACTTAACGATCAAAAGTCTAAATCCCGGTTTTACAATATTACATAATCAAATCCTATCATTTATTATTTAAATCAAATTCTATTCCTTTTAAAGAAAGGGTATTATATTTGCCAAGAAATAAATTCAAATATTTTTTAATGAAATCAAATTAAAGTCTTTTAACTCAACAATGAATGAAAATATTCCTATTCCTAGAAGCTAATTCGGTTTTTAAAATGAAATACGGTCTCAATATAAAACGTAAAAAGCGGAACGAGGTTTTTTACCTAACGGATTTGTAAATACGAGAAAAAAAATTATCGGCGGTGATTTGATTTGTGCTGCGGCTTATTAGTCTCGACTGGTGGCAATCAAATATTTTATCGAACTGATAATTTTAATAGCATCTCGGGTCTCGTTCAACTACTGAGTCCCTTTCCCCATCAGAAAGCGCACCTACGCTCAGACCCACCGCGCACGGTACTCGATCGGCGTTCGCGCATGTAAATCAACTTAGAACCAACAGTTCAATCGTGTTTAATATTTATTAAAAAGGAAAATAAATATTGATGAAAAATTGACTTCATTAAACATCCTGTTTATAACTTAAAATATTTTGCAAATATACTGGGGCTATTCCTGATTTAATCTTAAATATAAAAAACAGGGAATGGAACAGCAAATATTTTTTAACAAACAACCACTGGAGCACATTTAACATGGAATTGACTGATTCCAATCTTGAACAGCTCATACCTCTATTCTGCAACTTTTGCAATCATTACAACTTATTCTGAATGAATGAATGAATGACTGAATCCGTTTATTTAGCCATTGCTATTATATACAATTATTTTTTTAATTTACATATTTTTTTTTGTTATCTTACATAATATACACAATTGTTTAATTTGATTCTCTAAGATATTTACATAATTTTCTGTTAAACAAATTCAAATTGCTAGAGTCTTTTATTTCTTTTGGCAGATTATTAAAAAGATGTATTCCATTAATTAGCAACGATCCCATTAAGAGTTTTATTTGAAAAATGTATGTTGAAATTTTCATCGGATCTTAAATGTCGAGAATGTAAGTGTTGCCGCGTAACTAGTACCTCACTTAGATATTTCGGTGTTAATTGATGCATCATTTTATAGATTACAACGAGGGTTGCCTTTTTAATATTCTGTTCAATAGAAAGCCAATTTAGGGTTTGTAGCATATTTTTGATTGGAGTGTAAATATTACATTTTAGAACAACTCTCATACATTTGTTTTGGAGTACCTAAAGTCTGCTTACTTGTTCTTTATTACATGAAAGTAAAAGTGACATACAAAAGTTAAAGTGTGGATATACAATTGTGTTATAAACAAGATTTCTACTCCATTGAGACAAATTTGAAGCTATTCTTCTAAAGAACCCTATTTTCTTCCCTAATTTCCTACATAAGTAGTCTGCATGACTGTTGAAAGTCAATTGAGGATCTAAAATAACTCCTAGGTATTTAATCGTATATACTTGTTCGATGGCAATATTGTTTATACAGATGATAAAATTTCGCTCCGCAAAATTCTTACAGGTCGATTTAGATCCCATTGCCATAAACTTGGTTTTATTTGCATTTAGTTTTAATTTGTTGATACACAACCAGACATACAGAATACTTAGCTCACTGTTTAAGGTGCGAACAGCTTCTTCAAAATTAGTAGCCGCGACAGATATGAGTGTGTCATCCGCAAATAAACTTACAAAAGATTGTTGTAACGCATCCTTTATGTCGTTAATATATATAATGAACAATAAAGGGCCCAGGACACTGCCTTGTGGTACACCGAAATTACATTCCGTTCCATTGGACACACTGTTGCCTACTCTAGTTTGGTGGTATCGGCATTGAAGGTAGTTGTGGATTAATTTTATGGCATCTGATTTTATACCATATTTCTGTAGTTTGTAGAGTAGCAGTTTCCGATCAATCGTTTCAAAAGCACGCTTTAAATCCACAAATACCCTCAAAACTACTTTTCCTTTATTAATTTCCTCCCTCCAGTTAAAACATGCAAATTGCAATGCCGTTTCACATGAATGACCATCACGAAAACCAGACTGCCCTGAGTACAAAATATTGTTCCTTTCAAAGAATAGCTTCAATTGATCTCTTAACACAATTTCAATAATTTTATCTATAGTTGGTAGTCAATTAATTGGCCTAAATTGTTCTGGCAGGGTTGGCGACGGAACTTTAGCTATTGGCACGATTAAATTAATTTTGAGATCCGAAGGGATTCGTCCACTAGTTATCACTGTATTTACAATATTTAGCAAGGGATATCCAACTACACAAAATAGGTCTTTAAGAAGTTTTGGACTTAAAAAACCGTCACTCGAACTTTTATTCTGGTTGAGGAAATACAATATAATGGCACACAAGTAGCAGCTCTAACCTGATCATTCCACCAGTTCTGATAATATAGTAAAATGTTAAATTGTTTTTTTTTACACCACTTCATTGACAACTTCCAAAATTGTATCTAAAAAATCTCTGTATTTTTCATTAATATCATGTAACCAATAATTCCATGTAATATCTTTTAGATTATTATTAATTATTGTATAATCAACATAACGTTGCAAATAATGGTACTATATTTTTACGAACCAAATAATGTTTGTCAGTAAAAACAACATTCTTTTATTTACCAATGAATTTTTTTAATAAAACAGTGTTTTTGTAAAGTACTAGGTGATTCCATATAAGATGGTTGTGTGTATTTCTAGACCAGAAATACAAAATTGTTTGTTTTACTTTTCTGATATCACCTTTGTAAAGGAGAATTTCTCATTTTTATTAGTATAATTTGTAATCTTCAAATTTTTTAATATTTATGAACTAATCGAATTTCGTTTTGCAGGTTTCAACATATTCGATCCCCAATCGGCACCGCGACCTCTGATGGCGGCTCCAATGACGAGCGCGCCGCCCATGCCTTTGATGAACGGGAACATGCCGCCAGCGCAATGGCCCGGTCCCCCCCAAATGCCGTGGCCGCCTGGACCGCCTCCGGGCATCCTGCCGCCGCCGCCACCACCCGGAGCTTCGAGTCCACCGCAAAGTATGGCTATGGCGCCGTCAAGCTGGGGCTCGAATCAACCGCCGCCACCGGGAGCGCCGCCTCCGTTTTCCGTGTGGCCGCCCGCCAGTTTCCCTCCACCGCCCCCGCCCGGCATCGACGTCAGCAGTTTGCTTACTTCGCCTCCTCCGCCGCCGCCATCTTAACTTCCGAAAACGCGGTGGACTTTTTCTTTTTTTTTTGTCTTTATAGTAAGAGTGCACCTCGAGTTTGTTCGTCTCGTTTGGTGTCCCCATGTCTTCTGCTTCGTTAAACGTTTTTCGATTCTGTCTGTGAGGCGTTTCAATGGCGTGGCGTGAATGTAAAATTAATTTATATTATTAGAGGACATAGTGTATATAGTATAAGGACTCAACATGGAAAAAGTGTGTTTCGAGTTTCTTGGAAATTATATTATTTATTTTAATTTAACTGATCAGACAACATGATTGCTAAATGGTTCAACATTCCCATGCACTTTTCCAAGAGACACAATACTGCTTGATTCTGATCCAGAAACTCGATGCGTATTCTTTCCATTGGCGCCTAATACATAACTTTGTCAGTAATTTTTCTTGTTATAAGAAAATTTAAATGGAAAAAGTAGGTTTAATAGTTGTTTTTTTTTTAATTTTTTTTATTAAATACCTTTGAGAGGTGTTTTGAGAGTTGGAAATTGTTTAAGAGAAACGACAAGGGGGCAAAGGGCGTACACTTGGAAGGAGGAGGTTTTCGAGACAACACGATGGAAGGTAGCGCTACTTTAAAATTTTGTATATCAATTTAAATGTAATACAAGAAATTATATTAATAATAAGGCTAAAAATATTTTATTGGACACCTTTTTACTTATTTCGTCACATTTCCCGATTTTAATTATTGTGATTTTTTTTTTTTAATTTGATACTCTTGTGCTGGTGATGTTCGAATAGGTATGGGACAAGGCTGCGATTTTTTTGTTAATAGTGTAGCTGTAAAAATAAAGAACTTCAATAATTGTAAAACAATGTTTTAATTTACAGTTGTCGATAGGCCAAGCAGTAGAGATAAATTATTTTTATAATAGGTTTAGATTCTAATGGAAAATACATGTTTTTGGATGGATAACACTAAAAAAAGGTTTACTAAATTTATTACAAGTTCGTCTTATGACAAAAACGTGTAAGTATGGCCAGATAAAATAAGGTATAAATCGTAGAGGTTATTCAACTGCTCGAACATGGCCATTTTCATAAAAGAAAATAAAATTCTCAAAATCAGAACCACACATTTTTTTTTTATTAAAAACTAATTGGTAATGTAATGTTAACACAGCCAACCGGTTTCGACTCAAAAGCCACCATCAAGCCTAAAATAGAAGGGAAAAATGGTTCTTAACAAAATCACAATGAAATAAATCAAGTAACATACCTTAGACAAAAATTCATAATCAACGTGACGATTTATTTATTTATTTGTTTACAGTACGCTACAGATACATAAAGTTCTAAATGGTACATTTAAAATATCAAAATAAAAAAATTGTCACAGTATAAAAATGAAGCCAATAGTGTAATGAAAGTTGACGCTTTAAAGAAAACAAACCTGTGTTAAAAATGTCGTAATATTGGACATCAGTCGGTCTACAAATAAATTCCGTCCATAGCTAGTTCTATGAGTATTTACATAAAATAGTTTAATCTACCTAGTAAGTTTGGCAATAACAAGGAATCTAATAAAATGTACCGGGATGTCACTATCAATCAAACCGTTCAATAACTTATACAGGAAAACAAGCGATTCTTCTCGACGTCTGCATTCCAAACTCTTAAGTCCGCACAACAGAATTCTGGTTTGGTAATCTATATTTTGCGATGGAAGCCTATGTTTTCATAGTAGATACTTCGAAAATTTATTTTGCGCTCTTTCTAATTTATCAATATGTCAATTGTAGTTAGGTGCCCAAATCACTGAGCAGTATTCTAAAATGCTGCTAACTAAGCAGTTGTAGAGACTCTTCAGAGCTGCCGTATCATAAATGTGCTTGGTGTACCTTTTGACAAAGCCCAGCAGTTGAAAAGCTTTATTTACAATTTCTTCCAAGTGTAACGATAAACTTGAGAACTTCAACAGGGGTTTCCTTTTTTTGTTAAAAATAACGAAACAATGCTTATATTTCATCGGCTAGTTCCAGGGCGTTAAAATCGCTTGAATTTCCATCAGTTAAAACTACTTCCAAATCTTTGCAATGAGCCAGTAGCTCATTTCTGGGCATGTCTTTTAAACCAAAAATATACAAAAAGCTGAAATAATTACTATGAGTATTTAGCAAATTATATCTGGTTTCCAAGGCATTTATTGCTTGATCTATAGTGTAAAAAAAAAATTACTTTATATTTTTGTTTGAGGTCTTGAAGGAACAAATAAAAAGAGAACACCATAGGCTCTGGATGGAACTTCCTGGACTTAGAAAGTCCAAAAGATTCATAGAGGGGCCATCCACGAGCAGACAACATCAACTGCTAAACCTTAGCAACCTTAAATATCTTGTGGATATAATATGGATATCCAAATGTCCGTCCATATCCAGAATATAGAAGATATCCTACGGATATCCAGCAAAATATCTAATGGGTATCTCCCAGACAATACAAGAAATCCCAGAGATATCCACAGAATATATTTTGTGAATATCCAATATATCCACAAGATATTATAGATATCCAGTGGATCTAATATGAATATCCAAATGTCCGTCTATATCCAGGATATAGAAGATATTCTATGAATATTCAGCAAAATATTTTATGGGTATCTTTAGTAGAGGTTCATAAGTAACCAATGGATATATCCTATAGATAAAAAAAGGAAATAATTCCAAATTCAAATGTGACTGAGATGTAAAATACATCAAATAATACTCAAAGATTTTGCCCACTAAGGAGAAAGTCATTCTTGGACCGTTTTCGTCCTTATTAGGACTCTTCTGCAATAAATAGAAATTCTCGACTCCAGTCTCTAATGGAGTCTGATTGCAATACCAATTTCGATCGAACTCGATACGGCAGGTTGAGCATGAGTAGATATTCAACGAGCGAAAGTGGTATCGCCATTTATACTTAGTAAGCAAAATCAAAGGTCGCTGCAGTACCTAGTTCAGAGACTAAGTGGAATAAAAGCCGGCGGGCTATTCTTAAAAAAGGAAATAATTCTAGTCCTAATAAGGACAAAACCGTTGCAAGAATGACTTTCTTCTTAGTGGGCAAAATCAAAAATTACATCTAGTGGATATCCACCATGGTTTGCGTTCGCGCCTAGACTTTGATATATTTAGTGGATGTCCATGGGATATTGAATACACTTAAAAAAATTAATTTTAAATATCTGAACGGTACTATTAGCCACAATGGCGTAATTTTTTAATAATTTGCTATATAATTGCTATTATTTACAGACATTTGCATGTCTATAAATTACACCTCATGGATATAAAATAGATGTCCACCATGGACTGGACATTCAGTGGATATTGGGATGTCCAGTAGATATCCAAAGGATTTGGTGTGCTGTCTGGGAACAGAGCACATAAATTTGAACTGCTTCAAATTATTTAATAATCCGCTAGCCTCGTCTCTGATCATATTATCGATTTCTAAATCTTCATATATGCTGTACAAAGCATCGTGAATTGGACCAATTTGAAACCGCAGAGCTTTTAATGAGTCGACTCAACTTTCCCATCGCGTATCACTCAATGGTTTTAGGGTGTAAGTATCAATATATTTCAGTAATATTGCCCAACGAAAAGAAGAGGAAGAAAAAAATGTATATAACTTTTGAACAATATTGAAGAAGTTGGCTGCCTCAAACGAGGATTTTGCCATATCGTTTACAACCAAATTTAGCGAATGGCTGCTGCATGGAACAAAATGCTCTGGGGTTTATATTTCTGATTCTTGTTTGTTCTCCCTATTTTTCTCCTCTCATATTGGAACCATTGTCATACCGCGCATGTTTTCTACTTTAATCCTATTTTTCTCTAGCTCTTCTAGTAAAACCTCCGACAATTCTTTAGCTGTTGATCTCTCTCAATGGGTAGAAAACCCAAAAAATGTTCGTTGATATTAACTTGAACTTCAGACTCTGATTCCTGTATGGAGACAAATCTTACCACAAATGTCATCTGTTCTACTTTACTTGCATCGGGAGTACAGTCAAGAATCACGGAATAATACTTGGCCTTTTGAACTTGCTCAATGGTGTGATGCTTTATGTTGTCATGCAATAATTCAATTATTTCATTTTGTATAGTTTTCCCTAGATATGTAGCTTTGATTTCTTCTTTATTGAGGACTCTGCGAACGTGTTCCTCCATTTTTGAATCAAACTCAGCCAATAACTGAATTAACTTCAAAAAGTTTCCATTATTGTGTTTACACAGTTTATCGCTTGTTCCTCGAAAAGCTAGAGAGCTCTCATCTAGCATTTTAACGACTGATATAATGCGTAAAAGAATTTCAGACCAGTGATTTATCTCAATCAATGAGTCTCTGAGAAACTGCATCTATTTTTTCACCTATTTTCAATCTTTGCTTCATTTCCAGCCATGATTTCAAATAATCTATATGAGTTTTAGCATTTTCATGATGTGCTAAAGAGTACCCTAAATGCTTCCAGTCTTTAAATACGGAATATACCGCATCCATTCTCTTAAAATCTCTCCTCCATTTCTAAGCCTTCTCTTGTAATGTTTTGGTGAGAATCTTCTATGCTGATCATCAAAAGGAAAATCAAAATTATACAAAGGTGCAGCTGGACCACGTTTAACCAAAAAAACTCTATCTGCTGCACGCATGATTTCGGGCCATAATCCTGGGTCAGAAGAGATACTTTGGACGGTAGCCTTTTCTAAATGTTTCTCTGAGGTCTGCACAACTTGCGAATTTTGATTTTTGGAACTGCACGGATATGCATCACTACTCTCCAAACACGTTTAAGATGACTTACCCAGCTCAGTAATGCTGACGGTTGCGTCCAAAGGGAGGTCCATATCTGGAAAGTCAGTATTTAGATGCTGGGCGTTGTTCAAATGTTGGTCGGTTGTGGGAGCGTTGAAACTACCTTCTTTCAAGAAGTTCTGCAGCGCATCCGACTATTTTTGAAGCTGTTTGCTTGTTCAATCTCCACTTTTTAAATTCGCTCCCACAGGGTTTTCTCTTAGCATCGGACATTTTGGTTTCTGGAACAAATTAATTAAAATAAAAGATAATACTCAAAAAAGGCCATGATTTGATATAAATTATAATTTTCGAAATCCCCCCTTATGCGTAACTGACTTAAAAAAAATGTATTTTATTCAACTTCAGACTCAATTACTTTTCATTCGATACCACACAAGCCATTTTTTGATATAAACTCTAATTTTCAAAATCCCCCCTTATGCGTCACTGACTTAAAAAAAATGTATTTCATTCAACTCCAGACTCAAATTACCTTTCATTTGATACCACACAAGCCATTTTTTGATATAAACTCTAATTTTTGAAATCCTCCCCTCGTGGCGCCACTGGCTTAAAAAAATAAAATGCATTTTATTCAACTCCCGACTCAATTACCTCTCATTTGATACCACACAAGCCATTTTTTGATATAAATTCTAATTTTTGAAATCCCCCCTCGTGCGCCACTGGCTTAAAAAAATAAAATGCATTTTATTCAACTCCAGACTCAATTACCTTTCATTTGATATCACACAAGCCATGTTTTGATCTAAACTCTAATTTTTGAAATCTACCCCCCACCCTTTTTTGGGCTTATGTTTGATGGATTTTTTTAGTTTTTAAAAGTGAAAACAAAAATTAAAACACTTACCTTCACAGAAGCCAAACGCACTGGACAATTTGCACAAGCACTTTTTTAAAGCTTTTTTGCACTAACAATTTAAACAAAATATTTTATTTCGCACCAGCCGAAGTCTAGTGGCAAATAATGCATTGTTTTAAGTCTACTTTCTCTTTTGTTTTACCTAACTATACTTAATATAACAACAATAAAGAATAAGATTTATACGTTAGATAACTCGTGCGTTCTATTCAGTTTAAAACTTACTTCACATATTGAATGATATTTTGCTGGTTTTTTTAAGTATGGTGTACAATTTTAATTGTAAAAATAAAATGATACTCTTTTTACTCTACATGCTATACCTATGCTGTGTAGCGTCAAAAATAGTTAACACTAGAATAGTAAACCTTGTATGGATGTATATACCAAATGGAATGTTTTCCTTAAAAAAAAAAAATTAATGAAGCATTAAATACGACACCCTATAGGCATATAATTTTCGATATCTTAAATATATCAAATAATGGATGTACACTGGATATGTTAAACATCTATAGAATATATCCATTGGTTACTTATGAACCTCTATACTAAAGGTACCCATTAGATATTTTCCTGGATATTCATAGAATATCTTCTATATCCTGGATATAGACGGACATTTGGATATCCATATTAGGTCCATTGGATATCTATAATATCCTGTGGATACGTTGGATATCCACAAAAGATATTCTGTGGATATCTCTGGGATTTGGTGTGTTGTCTGGGCATGAGGTTTCTTCCACACGACGTAGTGTGATAATTGTGTAATCCCATCACATGCAGGTGTTTCAGCAATCAGTGCCCCGTTAGTAATCCTACAATGGTGGATATCTGAAGCCTTGATAGTTATAGTACCTCAATAACAATGCGTGGGTTTGGTCTCCTTAGCATGAGCTAACTGATTCTGTGCCCTATTATCTGTTGCCAGTGAATTTGTTGTTTTGTGGATATCCACCTGTTCATTGTCTGTCTAGCAGAGGTTTTGTTCATCCCTCTTTGGCGAGTTCATCGGCACTTTATTTCTTTCTTAAATTATCTCGTACACACAATTTGCATGAATGCATGTATTTCAGCCTGAAAAATAATGTGAGTGTACTCTGTAAACTGTTCGAAAACATACACACAGTAAAACGTACAAACGCTAAATATTAAATTATTTAGCCATTTGACCCTCCAGTAATAGAAACGCAAAGTCAAAAGCGCGTCAACTTGACGTCATACTTAAAGTGTCAAGCAAATAGAAGAAAATAATGTTTGAAGAAATAATTAAATACGAGCACATAAATTACGAATCGACAATAGCAGTATGGGCGAGCACCATAATATGGACGTGTTTCTACAATTTCGTACGGTATTTGTTACCAGGTAAAAGCCGCGAGTATTGTTGTAGAATAATAAGTTTTACGCATGGGCTAATATCAGCTTTTATCGGTATAAACCAGTGTTTCGTTATAGATATACCGTTTACTCATCCGGAATGGAAAACCAATTATACTCAATCGTTTTTGATGGTGTTCAGCTTGGGATATTTTATATACGATCTGATTTGGATGTACTTATTTGAACTGCAACAGGAAAAATTGATGATCACCCATCACATTTATTGTATAGTAGCGCTGTTCAAGATGTTGTTTAAGGGAACTTCCGGCGCTCAAGCGACTTGCGCATTGGGGAGTATGGAGATAACTAATCCGTTTCTGCAATACAGGTGGTTCATAAGAAGCGAAGGCATGTACCCCTCGGCGTTGCATTCGGCGATGGAAACGACGTTTTATATTATATTTTTCCTTGTAAGGATAGTACTAGGTTCTTATTACATGGTTGTTATATTAAGGCAGGAACACAATGATGTGGATTTCATTTTTTTGGCGCTAGCTATTTATGTTATTTCGTGGATGTTTCAAATCAATATTATCAAATGTATATTGGTTAAATACGGATTTGTAGAAAAAATAAAATATAATTAACTACATTGATATTTACTTCGCTATATAGGCATTCGCTCCGTACGTGACAGCAGCGCCAATTAATTTATGTACTAATGGACTATTTTTCTAATACTGACAATACAATTTTTAATAAAATTCGTAATTAAAAAGTAAATATGTTAATTTTATTAAAAGTATATGGATTTGTAAAATAAATGAAACCTTAATTTACTACTATTATATAATTGTATCGCTTAAACTAAAGAAACTAAGTATAATCAATAATAAAATATAGATAGGCAACAGTATTTACGGAAAAATGTATGAGGAGTTGCCTAAGTCTAATATGTCTTTGAAGAATTAACTTATTCTGTCAAAATAAAAAAAATACCATTAAATAATAGCATGAAGTTAAAATGTATAAACAGAAGGATTATTATTATTTTTTCATTTTTGTTCAAAAGAAAACATAGAATGAATGATTAAAACTGGTTTCCTATCAATAACCCAGACGTCTGTTTTATGTCGTAGTTATGACTGAACGCCTAAAGACCTAAAAAAGACGTTGTAAAGACGTCTTTTAGGACACATAAACAGACGTCTTAAAGACGTCTTTTGAATGCCTATTTAAAAAATATAAAAAATAATGATAACTTTAAAAAAGTACTGGCTTACTTGTCGTTTCTAATTTCACAAAATATAAATTTATTTTTAATTTTTTTTTATTAATTTACATAATTTACTTATTTTTTTTTATTTATTCACGAGCATTTGTTCATTAGAGTAAGTAAATATTTGATAACATAAAAATAATAATAATTAATATAACTCTAAATAAAATTAACAATTAAAACATAAGACAAATTGAATTACGCGCTCTTTCACCTTGACCGGAACATGGTTCAACGATCGAAGCGAATGTTTTTATTATGCTTTGTCTTTTTTCAACAGAAGAATTTAAACAAGGACGTGTATCTGAATGTATTATTGGGGTTCCGTGGTTCGTGGTGATGTGGCGATCTGAGTTGTCATTTGTCGTTGATGTTGAAAATGAACGCCGAGAGGTTAGTTTTTGTTGGTTATTCGTTGATTTTTTATTTGTGTCTTGTGCCGTGGATTACTGTGAATTTATAAGCATAAAAGTTTACTGCATATACTGAAAAACCAAATAGAAGAACCCTTATTAGTGTTTTAAGTACGTCTAGGCGTCTAGAGCTGACTTAGAAGCTTCATCGGATGTAAATATATCTGAATTAAGAGTTGAAAGTACATGAAGATTGCCATTCTTTGACCACCCTTAACCCACACTATCTACTGAAAATCGAATTTATATATAATGAGCTATAATGCATAATATTTTACACAGCGCAGTTAAAATTATTGCAACCCAGACTGGCTCAGAAGAGCATCCGACAGAAGATTAACCACTAACGGAGGAAGAATCCAAAAAAAAATAATTTGTAATATACTTTGGTAATGTTGTAGTTGAAGGGTCTGGAAATGCGCCAGTCCGCACCATTGCTGTTCCGGCTAGTTCTGTCAGTTGGAATCGTTACATAGTTGTCAGGTTATATTTAATTATTTGGAACCAGGGAATAAGCAGATTGAAATAACTATTTTACTTTTAATCATCTATTTATCAGTTTTTACATCGATTAAAAATCCCATAAAAATAAAAAAATTCTAAAGATTTTCAAGTAATACGATCGTTATTTTTTATGTCAATAATACCTTTCAATAGTGATAATTACAAAATTTAAATTTAAAATCTATCAAAACTGTCTTATAAAACAAAACAGAATTGTTATTTCAAAATATAATATAAATCTTTATATTTATTTATCATACATTTAAATTTACAGAGTTTACAATTTGTCTAAATAATAAACTATGCAATAAAGCAAGCTAAAATGAAAGTGGAGATTTGGCAACGTGGCTTGAGCAAATTCAAATTCTAGACGTCAGTGCAGAGTGGTGTGAATATGCGCATTTCTAGACCCGTCAACTACAACATTACCAAGAAATTTATAGAAGCTTTTAAAACTAAATCCCAGAGTACGTCTTACCAATGTCGAAAACCAGACATATTCAAGATGTCTTAAGAACGTTACCTTTTGTAACATCAGACGTCTTAAAGATGTCTTTAAGACGTCTGGCCGGCGTCATAAGACGTCTTTTAGACGTCTGTTATGTCTCTGACAGACGTCTTAAAGATGTCTTTGTGCTGTCTGGGAAGTCACAAAATTGCATTCCAGCTGCTTACAAAAGTTAAAAACTCTTGTGAATACATGATTTAGAACGTAAAGGTTTAGTCCTCTTTATGTAATATTTTAGTGTTAACGCCACACAACTGCGATTTCTCGTTAAAATACGGAAATATAAAAAAGGATTGGGGCTTATTTAGTTCAGATGTTTTAAGTCTGTCATTCTGAAAAAATTATATTTTCTAAAGATATCTTTGTAATTGTTTGGACTCTATGCACCGTGGTTAAAGCCAAGAGCGTTACTACTGTCTTGGTTAACTGTTCCAGATTTAAGTCTTTCAAAGGGTACAATAAACCTAATTTTTCCAGCACAGATTGAGAGTCCAAGATATCATTATATTTCGGTCTTGTAGGATTAAGGTTATACACACCTTTTAGGAAACGTTTTAATATTTTTTCATCAGCCGCATTGATTTCAAATAAAAGTACAAGCGCCGATCTATGGGTATTTATTGTAGGATATGATAATTTCTGGGCCAGTAACTATGTTAAATATTCAATAATAAAATTTAAATTATACTCTACTGGATTAGAATGACTCTTAATATAAAATTTCGCAGAGGGGGAAGAGAAAGTAATAGCTTACTTTAGTAAGACCTTGGGAAAAGCAGAGAAGAATTATTGCGTCACCAGGAAAAAACTATTAGCTATTGTCAAAGCCCTTGAACACTTCCATACTTACCTTTTCAACAGAAGTTTTATCATTAGAAGTGACCATAGTGCCTTGCAGTGGCTGATGAATTTTAAAAAACTTAAGGGACAAGTTGCTAGATGGATAGAAAGACTGCAACAATATAACTCTAAGATAATACATCGAAGGGGACGTCTCCATAGCAACGCAGATATTCTCTCCAGGCGACCCTGTTTAGAACGACAATGCCGGTACTGTAAAAGGCTTGAAACGAGAGGAGCTAGTTGAAGAAGTTAGTCTATATGCGACCACTATCAAGCCAGAGGATAACAAAGACGAAATCACCCTTGAAAGCCTAAGAAAGACTCAAAAGAAAGACAATGACGAAGGTTGTCCGAGAATGGCTCAAAAATGGAGTTAGACCTACATGGCAAGAGATAGCCAAATATAGTGGAACCATTATAAAGGGTACTGGACTCAGTGGGATTCCCTGTATCTTCACGATGGCCTATTGCACCGGAAGTGGGAGAGCCCCGATGGAGTACATGTAGTCCGCCAAGTGATTCTGCCGAAATCCCAGGTCAGAAATGTATTGGAGGAGCTTCATAGCAGTCATTCAGGAGGACACTTAGGTACTAAAAGAACACTTGCACGAGTTCGGGAAAGATTTTATTGGGTCAATTGCCGACGGGATGTAGAAGATTGGTGTAAGGAATGTGACCTCTGTAATGGCAGAAAAGGGCCCAAAACAAGAAGTAGAGGTAAAATGGCACAGTGCCTTTCCGGAGAGCCTTTCGAACGAATTAGCATAACATGAATCGTAATTTTTTAAAGTTCCCTCTGATTAAGAAGCTAACAATATCAGAATGCCTGTTTCCGAAATTCTGCGTCTTAAGAAGGCGTTGCGGATAATTTCCCTGCTGCCAGGATAAAGTCTTTGTGTAGGGGGCGAGGTTTCCTGAAAGGTGAAAAAGTAGATATTTATTAGGGCCTTTGGAAATCGGATTTTCGGTCAACAAACTTTTAAATAAAGGAAACCAAGTTGGGTGGGCACCACTATAATTCCTGAAGCTTCATCATTTATCATTTTACTAAGTACTCTACTCTAATGATTGCAAAAGGAGGAAAAGCATAAAAATAATGGTTTTTCCAGTTAATAGTAAAAGCGTCAACTACTATATGGAATTTGGGTTCGGTTTCCATGACGCATAAATTTCACATTTGTTATTTTTATGAGAAGCAAAGAGATCAATATCTTGGCTACAAAATGTTTTAACAATTTCGTCATAAAAAGAGACATTTAATTCATAGTCTGTCTCTATCAAATGTGATCTGGATCCCACGTCAGCCTCATAGTTTGCCGAAGTAGCAATATATGAGGCAAACACGAAGTTGTTTTTATTTTCACACCAGTCCCATAATAAATTTGACATACTCTCTTACCCCTCAAATTGTGTACTACCCATTCTATTTATGCAATAAATTATTGTCAAGTTGTCAATACGTAATAATATATATACTAGAATTCCTTCGGTCTTTAGCAAAAGAACTGAGTGCAGAGAATGCAGCTAACATTTTGAGTTGGTTTATATGTCCGGTCCAGAAACCGTTAGATTTAAAATTCTTACAATATGCTCCCAAACCTGTCTTAGAGGCGTCTGAAAAAATTTCCACTTCGAAATCATCAAATTTTATAGGTTGTTTTGAACTTAAAATATTTTTTGACCACCATTTTTAACCGACTTCAAAAAAAGAGGAGGTTCTCAATTCGTCGCAATATTTTTTTTTTAATTTGGTGTCGTCGACGTCGACTACTACGGCCATTAGCCTCGTGTTCTGTGTAGGCTTTGTTACTGTTTCCCAGCGCCACTTTAGGAACAGCACTGTTAATTAAAACCCAACAGTGAATGGTGCATAGCTTTTATCGCGGGCTTTGAGCGCGGCCATCAAATCAAGAAATTCAGTAACGAAAATAAACCTAACACCCGACCGGCGCAGCGCTGCGGCGTTGTAAGCCGTGGAAACTTTTATCCGACCCTATTCGTATTAGTATGAAATATACGTCTGCGAACTGGAACGTTTATGCAATACAAGAACTAGAAGAGCTTTCTCTGGCTTCTAATAAATTGGTATCACAAATGTTACCGGCTGGCGTAAATATTAGATATTAATTTTTTTTTGCAAGATTTACAAAATATTAATTTTTATTTTATCAGTGTTAACTATTTCATTATTAAGCTATT